GAGGGTTATTTTTCGATATCAGTCAATTGTGCCATCATTTGCCTCTTTCTGCTGTGATTCACGTCAGGTCTCGTTCATCATGTTCCCCAAACACGACGCTACAAATGCGGGAGAAATGAGATGTTTATCAGCTCTTGTGTACCACCCACCAACTCAGTCCTCAACGTGGTCACAATGACTGATAACACGCATTCTTTGCACTAGGTAAGTCTGATAAGGTGGAGGCTGGGTGAAGAGTAGACGATAACTGAGGCTACCAATTTTATCAGCAATAAGGTCCTTGATCATGTGGACTAGTTTTGTCCGGGTTACTGCTGTTTGCAATTTCCTTGTAGGCTCTTGATTAACTACTCTGCATAGCATACTCCACGAGTGGGTGGACTCGTCTGGTGGCCCGGGCTGAGATTGCCGTCGGCGCGGTTTGAGAACAGACGCATGCCTGCGCGTTCCCGCATTTGTGGTCCTCGACAGTCTGTCCCATCCTCTCACCGTTCCCTTGCGCTCAAGGCAAATCAAGTCAAGCTGAGGTGAGCATGAACCAGCCCGGAGCTTGACCGTACTCTCAGGGGCCGGACCACATTGATGGGTGACAACGACCAAAATGGCCTGGTCCTGGCATGATGAACAACCGAGTTAGCTTTGCTGGCAAGCAGGCCATATTGCGTGAATAATTCACAGGACCGATGCACCCTTACCAAATGCGTTCTCTATGATCTGTGAATCGAAAGTCAAGCTGCCCTGTTGCAACACTTGGAAGCGAGGCGGATATGTCGATCACTAAAGCTTCGGCCAACTGTTCAGGAACGTGCTATCTCGATATCTGGTGCAGTGTAGCATTCAACTCATAACTATCGTCGCTGCTCTGTCACTGCCGGTCGACGAAGTGCAAGTTTTTACCGCCATATTGATTAATGCACAGCAGACAAGACCCGCCACGAGGGGATCCCGGCAGTCTTTGGCACACATAGATCTGCATCCACGACTCGTCGTTGCTTTTTCTCGTGTGCCGTTTAACGGAAGGCAGATGTCAATGGTCAATGTGCGGTAAGGATTGTGACAGGTTGCGCAGATCACCATCAGTAATAAAAGGAATCGCCAAAAAGACGGACCGTCTCTCGTTTGTGTCAGATCTGCAGGTTCTCGATTGCTTGCTTTTCTTTTTGCTTTTTTACTACCGGATTGACCTTGCTGTCGCGTCGTGGTGCTCTGTCAAAGTGATTCTTGAGTTGGTTATGCTTTGCTGACCGCAAGATCCGGCAGGCCATGGAAGATTGTCGATTGCATCCCATTGCTTGCATCGTGGAGATTAACGGTCTGCCCTGCACTCCGCATCCATGCATCCTGGCTGCACGAGTTGCATATCCGGGGAGTGTGCAGTACGACACCGCCGTGTCAGACCACGTCCTAGATGAGGGCGGTCTGGAAGTTCTCGGGGCGATAAGACCCGCGATTCCTTAAGGTTCTTCCAACAGGTACCGGTAGTTGATCCAGAGTGAGATCTCATATTCTGTGGAAAGTTGAAACCCAATATCGTGGGGTCTTGAGATGGGTCAGTTTGTGTTGTGCCTGACGCTTAGCCAGTCAAGGAGGGATGTTTATGGCAATGGACGACCATTTCTCGGGTTAAGATAGTGCAGTACAGAGACGTGTTATATGCCACTCCGTGCTAACCGTTCCATCTCTGAAATACTATGCTGTATATCGTAGAAGGTCGTTTCATAGACCTAGGAAGAGTGATCTCACTACATACCCATACCCTCATCACTCATTACTTAATGAATTCTCTCGCAAGAGCAATATGACCTATAAATACAGGGATTGATAACATTGTGGACTAACTGACTATTTATATTTTTATCTCAAACTAAACATCGGCTTTGTGATTTGACAGGACTTGTCACCCACGTCGTCTCAGGCATACCCTATACCTAGCACACAGGTACTACTGGTAACAGCTGTATGTGACTGTTCAGTTCACTCAACGAGAAATCACTTTTTGGGAGGTGACTAGAAGGGTTTGGATTCTATAAAGAAACTGACTGGATCGCGCTGGTATCTGCTCGGTTTATAAAGGACTATATGCTTGCCTCGACTTGACTTGGTCTTTAGACCCCACGTCTACCACTTAGGCTGGTCACGTTCGTGCATAGGTGTCTCGAGTGCATGAGAATCGCCGAAGGGATCGTCTTCATCCTCTTCATCCTGCGGAGCTGCAACAGCAGCTGCAACTGGCCTTGGGGGTTGAGGGGGAGGGTTTGAGTGAGGTTTGGACATGGGAGGTGGCCGAGGAGGAGCTGCATGAACGGGTGTCGAAATGTTTAGCTCGGAGAGGTCTGGAGGCTGCGAGGCGGTTGGAGACTGAGAGGCAGCCTTGGCCATGGCCTCCTTGCCTTTAATCGTAGCCACTGTCAAGAAGTCAGCTGCATTCTCGCCAGAATCCAAGTCAACGCCTACTTCGATAAAGATGAGCTTGCTCGGCAAGTTCGTCATCCGAATCACTGTCCGCATCAATGGAACGATCGAACTGTTCGAAAGACATGAGAGCATGGACAAGCTCATCATTGGCATGAAGCAATCCTCCAAGCCACTGCTCTTCCTCAACATGATGGACCTGTATATGATTAGTTCAAGGATTTTCTCACAATTCTAACGAATACTCACATATCGTAGTACTTTGCGTCGAAGAAGTTTACAAGCTTCAAAGCGTTCCACTGCCGTCTGGTTCTCTGAAATGCGCTCCACCTCACGGTTAATGCTTTGAAGCGCATTCATCAAGTTCGTTGCTGCGATGGAGGAGTCAGCAATGACAGACTTCATTTGCTCCTTCTCAGCCTCAAGATTGAAAGGCTTTCGCTTCCCCTTAGCCTTATCCTTCTCTTTCTCCTTCTTCTTGTCTTTAGAGCTACCGAAGAAAGCACTGGACCCCGAGGAAGATTTGGTAGAAGAGTGTCCGAATGTTGAACCAGATGCTGGGGTTGAGCTCGAAGGGCCTGAAGCGGTCCTTGCATCACGGGCCGCCTTTGCCGCAGCTTCTTGTTCGTCGTCGACAAATGGATTTTCCTCTGTCTCTCTGAGGACTCGAGATCTCTCCTGTGTAACAGCTTGTTTTCTCTTGGGTAGTTCCTGCGATGTTGAGCATCCGATGTTGAAATATTGTGTGAGTATGACTTACCCTGTGAAGTCGTGCGAGACTGTCTAGCCCTGGCCTGCCAGCGTACTGTGACCATGAGCGAAAAAGCTCCCTACATTTATTCCTCACTGCAACATCAGACAAGTCAGAGGTGCCGCAAACACGCAGACGTTCAAGCAAGGGCTCATCCACAAAGGTTCGCTGGAACCTCTCGCCAGCGTTCTGGATGAGACCGTCAAGAATGACCAATGCACGGATTTGGCGGTGGACATTTCCGTATTTAAGCTTCTTTCGAATGGCTCGAGCTGCTTCACTAGGGCCCGTAGCTTGTAGGGTAATGACATCGACAAGCTCGGGGATACCGCTGAGATCTTCCTCTTCATATGATTCGGAGGTAAGGTTCTCAACGGTTACAGTTACCGCTGAGAACGGTTTCTTCTACTGGAACGTCAGTAAATCCAATAATACACGTTGGAGTTACTCTAGTGGAATGTAAATAGCTCATGAGAGCTATCAACGAACGAGGTCCCATTGGGCGGAAACTGCTTGCTTAAGAGACATGGCGGAATGATCTTACCGATTGGAACATGCTCATGATGGGCTATACTGTAGTGGCCCTCGTATATACTTTGCTGTGCTTGTAGCTCTGCGACGCAGGTTGCCGAGTTCCACGATGATGCTATCTCAAGTGTGGTTGGTAGCTTTGGCAGCTTTGAGTGCCTGATGACTTGATAGGAGACAAAGCAGCGCGGGGCTAGTCAGAGGCAAGTCGACACGATCGCTGAGCTCGTTGCGCCGAGGAAGCGAAGAGGCTTGAGATGACCTCAGGTAGGTAAGTGGTGAGAAGTTTTAAAGATCTTTGTATCATGAGATTCCTTGCCAGATAATGGATGGATGTCAACACCTTACCAGGTAAGGTAGTCAGGCGCTCACTCGTTCCTGCTGTCGCTCAGGTATGGTGGGGTTGCTGTTCTGTTGCTTGGTAGCGGGCTGTGACGCGGGGCTCCTTCCCAGTTTCGGTGGGGTCCTGTCGTCACTCCTCAAGATGGGAGGAAGTCGTGGTAGGTTACCTAGCCGAAAAAGGGGTCTTTACAGGTCCAATTAGAGTTGGACAAGGTTCTGTGATAGGTTATGAAACGAATGTCAAACTTATGAAGGATCATTGGTATTGCATGGAAATCTGACCCAGACGAGTTCAGTAGAGACTCATCGTATCACAACGGTAGCTTGAGATTTTGTCGTACCTCTGGTACATCGAGTTCTGGGCCTGGTGGAATGAGATGGATCTAGAGCTTGCAGGATGGCGGACAAAGTTCGAGCAAAGGCCTTGCTTTTGAGAACTTTGTAAGGGGGGATATTAGGAACAGCTTGATGTTTTCATAGCAGTCCGTCCGCAAATTTGGCTTTATGACTAGCTATCTATGAGCATTGACTCAATGAAGAGGCTTGCTCTAAGCTTTGCTGATGAACTTTTGTCTAGGACCTTATGACTGTGAGCATGCTTCAGTGTGTCTGTTCATAGACTTGGCAGTGAAGCTGGAGGAGTTGCCCCAGTTGCCCCCGAGCATGATACGTTGAGAGAGGATGTTCCACACTGGACCAGTGGAACTCATGATGCCCATCCGCTCTACATCAATGTGAGTATCGTCAGGGTTGACTTTCACAAACCCTAGACATGAGAGAGTGGCATTTTGCTAAGAAACCAAAAAAGAGTTTTTGCCATCACTCCCAGTTAGGAAATGAGTCAAACAACACAGATTCTTATAATAATGCGCCATCCGTCAACATAACTTAGACATTTATAGAAAAGTCTTTTCTATTATACTTGGAACCCGCTGACTCTGGTTACCCTAGACATTCCCGGTGACTTCTCCAATCACCCCTCCCCCGCCCCCGCCATCGCACCTCAGCTACGAATTTTGACTGTCAAAGGCGTTATCGCAGCTCTGTGACTCACAAACAGACAACGACAACCAACACCGAATCTCTCATCAATCATTACGAGCATACGTAGAGTGATTGATATACCAGATCGCCGAAAATGGCTTCACAATCACCCGTTCTGCCCGAGGAGGGCAAGCGCAACATCCTAATTACCAGTGCCCTTCCCTACGTCAACAACATTCCCCATCTGGGCAACATCATCGGCAGTGTTCTCTCCGCCGATGTCTTTTCTCGCTATTGCAGAGCACGAGGCTGGAACACCATCTACGTTTGTGGTTCCGACGAGTACGGTACTGCTACCGAGACAAAGGCCCTCGAGGAAGGACTCTCGCCTGCCGACCTTTGCGCCAAGTATCACGCCCTTCACAAGGGAGTCTACGATTGGTTCCGAATTGACTTCGACATCTTCGGCCGAACACCCACCCAACAACAGACGCAGATTGTGCAGCAGATTTTCAAGGAGCTTTGGAAGAATGGCTATATTGAGGAGCGAGAGACTACTCAACCTTTTTGTTCGGATCCTGCCCACGGCAAGTTCCTCGCAGATCGATTCGTCGAGGGAGAATGCAGCATTTGCCATGATCTCGGAGCCCGTGGAGATCAATGCGATGCCTGCGGTAGTCTTCTCGACCCATTTGAGCCCGATCGCGAACCCAGCACCTCTGATGATGACCATGTCGAGGCCAAAGCGACTGGTTTCCTAATCAACCCCCGCTGCAAGGTCGATGGAACCACCCCCGAGAAGCGAAAGACGAAGCACCTTTTCCTTCGTCTAGATGCGGTTAAGGACTTGCTCGTTCCCTGGTTCCATAAGAGCAGCAAGGAGGGAGACTGGAGCACAAATTGTATTTCCATCACCCAGTCATGGATCGACAAGGGACTCCTTCCCCGTGGTATCACTCGAGACCTCAAGTGGGGTGTTCCTATTCCTAAGGATCTCGAAGGTTTGAGTAATGAGGAGTATGCGGAGAAGGTCTTCTATGTTTGGTTCGATGCCTGCATTGGCTACGTCTCTATTACCAAGAATCTGGTTGATGGCGATAACTTGGATGGCACGAACTGGGAGAAGTGGTGGAAGAACCCTGAGAACGTCAAGCTTTACCAGTTCATGGGTAAGGACAACGTGCCGTAAGTGACCTTTTTGAGAACCCACATGATATGCTGAGAAGGTGTTGACAATTCATTAGATTCCACACTATCATCTTCCCTGCCTCTCAACTTGGAACAGGAGAGAACTGGACCAAGGTCCACAAGATGTCGACAACCGAATATCTCAACTACGAGGGCGGAAAGTTCAGCAAGTCCCGCGGCGTTGGAGTTTTTGGAAACACTGCTAAAGAGACTGGCGTTGATCCTGATGTTTGGCGATACTACCTTCTATCCAGACGGCCTGAGTCCGCTGACTCTGAGTTCAAATGGCAAGAGTTCATTGACTGCAACAACAACGATCTTCTCAAGAACCTTGGCAACTTGAACCAACGAATCCTCAAGTTCACTCAGGCCAAGTTGGATGGTGTCGTTCCCGACTACACAAAATACACCGACGAGCGGCTAGAGGAACATAAGAAGGAAGTGAACGAGGCCCTCAAAACCTTTATCTCACAGTTCGATGCCATCAAGCTCCGCGCTGGCCTTGCCACTGTTATGCACATCTCCGCCCTTGGCAACAAACTTCTGCAGGACAGCAAGCTGAACAACCAGCTTCTGGCTGATGAGCCAGACCGTTGCGCTGCTGTAATTGGTCTCGGTATCAACCATCTCCAGCTCCTTGCAAGCATCGTTCATCCTTATATGCCCTCTACTTCCGAGGCCATCCTGGAGCAGATCGGCAGCCCTGGCTTGATCTCAATTCCTGAGACATGGTCAGGAGACCTCGTCAAGCCCGGCCAAAAGATTGGCGAGCCTAAGCTTCTCTTCACACAGATCCCCGCATCTAAGCTTGATGAGTGGCGTGAGGCCTTTGGTGGTGAGGAGATCCGAAAGCAAAAGGCCCTCGAGGCGGAGAAGGCGGCGGCGAAGAAGGCTGCTAAGGACAAGAAGAAGCAAAAGAAGCTCGCTCTTCGTCAAGCTGAGAAGGCAGGTGAAGCTTCCACCGAGGAGAAGCCTGCCAAGGAGAAGTCCGCAGAGGAAAAGAAGCCTGTTGAGGCCTCTGCTGTTGATTTGCTTCCCGACAACAAGCCCTCTTAGACATAGATGCAAGTACACCAGAGTGAATCGGAGTTGGCGTTAGCAAAAAGAAATTGACTGTGTATGGACGGTGTATGAGGAGTAGCTTAGAAATCAGCATAGGTTGCCGAGCTTATTTTGAAGGTTTGCCGAACTGTAGAGTAGATTCTCAAATCAACTTATGAGGAATGACTAGAGCATGAGCTAGATGGCTGTTGAATTTAGTGTACAATATGTTTTAAGTTTATGTCAAGTTTTCCTTCAGACTCTATCCTGCGCCCTTCATGAGTTCAAGGTAGTATGTCGGCCAATCCTCTCAGTCACACACACGAGAGGAGAGCTTCCCTGTCATGCCATTTAGATAAACTAGGCCATGACGCAGAAATGCTTCAAATCAATAAGTTCAAATGAGGACCATGCGTAAGTCTACAGACGTGGTGTCTGGAGGGGGATCAGTTGCTACCAGTCTTGGAATATTGGAGAAAAGGTCGTCCATATATATGGTCTTGGTTGCAAATGCTCAGTTTGGTATTGTTATATAATCAAATGTAATCCCTTATGCCTGTCGACTATTTTATGTCGGCAAGGACGTGGTATCTGTATGTTTAATCCGAAAACTCCTTAAGCCTGTTGAAAGGCACCTGGCCTGTTGAAAGGCGTAGCTTTCTGTGTCGACTTGGTGTATATTGTACACTATTCGACTAGATGGGGCTGTCTTGCAGTCTCCCTTCGTTTGTGCGGCCCTAATAACGTCTCAGGCGGCGCTGATATGCTGTCCCGTCACTCTTATTGTCGTTTATTTGGGAGAGTTTAGACAGGATTCAGGAGCTTAGTTGGACTTCTTTCCAGCAGCACGCTCACGCTCACGCTTGGCGTAGATTTCAGAAGTGAACGGGTCCTCAAATTTCAGAGCGATCCTGTAGACAACATCGACCCACAATGTGAGCAGGATACCGGCAGGCTTGCCATACCACATGGCGGTAGCGAGGAAGCTGCAGGTAGAGCCAGTGTACATAGGAGAACCGGTCACGTTGAAGGGAAAGCCAGTCACCATCTCGTCCATGAGAATGCCAAAGTAGTCACCGAGGAAAGTGCCAGTAATGCCTAGTCGCCAGGTTGAAGAGACGACCAGGACGTTACCAACGATAAACAGAGCAACAGCGGCGGCCTGAATGAAGTCGCTGACAAGAGCGGGATGCGTGGGCTGTTCGGCGATGGCAGTCTTGAAGATAAAGTCGCGAATCATACCGAGAGAGAAGATAGTGGCAGCAAGGGCATAGCAGGCAACTTGGGAGTTACCGCCGAAAATCTTGGTCAGAAGTTTGTTGTGGTATTCTTTCAGCGATCAAGTTAGTCGAAGATGAATCGTATAGCTGCAAGTTGCATACCTTGACGGGCGACGATGCTAGAAAAGAAGAAGAGTTAGTGATGGTAGAACGTCACATTGGGACTTGTAACTCACTTCCAGAAGAGAGGGTTGAAGGCGATGGAGGCAGCAGAGACTGGAAGAAGCAAAGAGCTCGAGTCAGATTCAAGTATCGTTGGTAGATAGTTACAATGCTCAAGTCAAGTTGGCATATACTCACTGTACAAGCTCTGCTTGTCATAGTCGACATAGTCGACAAAGTCTTTCAAACCAAGAGCCATAATGGCAGCTGGGTAGCCAAGAAAGCAAACAGGCACGAAGAGTAAAGTGAGGTAATGGCAAAAGTCGTGATTACTGACGTAACAAGTTCACGGAAGAGTCACAGAAGGGAGAGGTTCTAAGAAGACTGGAAATAATTTGCAACTCTGCTGTTGAGAGGATAAATTGTTGAGATAGAAGAAACAGGAAACAGAATTAAAGAGAGAGCTTGGAGAAAGACAGCTTGGAGAGCTAGGGTACCTCCCTCAGGTACCTTCCTGTAGCTGTCCTGTCGGGACTGTCACATGGAAGAGAGTGGAAAGCGGAAGAGGAGAGAGTCCGGCCCGCATCATAATGGGAGGAGCCCGAAATTAGTGGAGAGCCATGGTTCCGTTCAGAAGAGGGTCAACTGGGGGAGAGCCCTGGACTCTGGAGGCTGCGTCTTTTTGATCCACCATCCACAAACCAAATCATGGAACCTGACCAAACGGAAGATCCCTGCAATGCAGCCGAGAAATCGAGGCAAGCAACCCAATCTGCCGAATTCAACCTATACCGAGAGAAAGCCTCATTAGCTCACCCAGGACCAGAACAGGCAGATATCGAATCTCATGGGTATGACCACTAACTACCTAACTAAACTATATGCTTCAATATTCATATCTATCGATGCTTGTAACAATACGCTTACTGCGGTTGGCATCAAGGCCCATCTCGCGGTTTATTCCAAACGCCAGCCTTAAAACGCCTAAAGCAAAAACCCGAACAAGCCAAGTCAGTCATCATCATCCATCAAGAAGAACACAGAAACCAACAGCTATTGACGTCGGTTTCTCGTCTTTTTACCAGTTGTCTGCACATCTTCTTCCTCTTCGTCCTGCCCCTTTTTGAGGTCTTCTGTGAGACCCCATTCCTCCTTGTCGTACCAATCTTCCCCGTCCGACATGTCTCGGTTGAGCCCTGAATGAGCTTCTGCCTTAGACCAGTGGAGTACATTCTTCCGCATCTGCTCGGCTTTGAGGAGTCCTAGAAACAGCCTCTTTGCCCCTCTACACACCTCTTCCTGCTTCTGCACGTAGAGAGCAAGCAATCGTCGAATATCTTCCGCTTCTTGGTCCGGCAAGCCGATATCCCGATCTGGTCTTGCTCCTGAAGGTGCAAGAAACATGGGATGTATGAAGTCATCGTCCCCGTCGGAGATCATGGATACATCTGCACCTATTGTCTCAGCCGATTCCGTTTGTTGATGTGCATCGCTGCCTGAAGGTTTCGCAGTGGCTTCAGCTCTGGTCGCCTCCATATCATTCGTCCCTTGTTCGTTTGTATGCTCATTGACCCCGTTTGTCGCTTCGCCCCTGGAATCTCTTTTATCCGTCTGTGCAGCTGGTACTTGCTCGCCGTTATGCATATTTGAAGCCGTTCCAGCACCGTCCTTCTCAGCCTCAACCTTTGCATTCTCGTCGGCATCCTCTACGAGAGAATCATCTGGGTCGGCAGTTCCAGCGTCCGTCATGGTTATATCGGCATCCTCTGCTGGGTCCTTGTCTGTGGGCTTGCCATCGAATGTTGTGTCTGGTAAAGCATCTCCTTGTTCGACACCGCTGCCTTGTTGTACGTCGCCGTTGGTGACTCTGGGAAGCGCCGATACCGCCTGGGATAGCGCCAACAGATGTTGCGCCGTGTGGTTGTCTGTATAGAGCTCAACATCTGCCGGCCGAACCATCATTTCGCATGGGACCCATGTGTAGTCGCCGCAGAGCGTTGTCAAGAGATGTCTGACTCTCCACAGAGACCGGTTCTCCTTGCGCATTATGTCGCAACTTTGGTCAACAAGTCGAGTCAGGGTTTTGGACGTGAAGGGCTTCGATAGGGTCGGGTGTGTCGGTAACGCGGTTGATGCAGTAAGTGGAGCAAGGATATCTACTCCTGTTAGCCCTGCTACTCAAATGGGTGATTGTTGACTTACTCTCTATTTGTATGTTGGCGTAAGGGTTCATCTCTGCCGCTAGGGCCTCTGCTTCTTGAACGCGCTCCTCATCTTCGTCGTCGCTATCTATTTCGTATCCTTCCTCGTCGACTAATGGGGGATTGCGATATAGGATCGGGCGTCGGACACCACCGTATTCGACATACTAGCAGATGTCAGAAATTGGCCTGGGAGGATTTGACAAAACAACGAACCTCTCTATACGAACTTGGACCATTATTTGGGACCAATTGCCCTTGACGGGCAAACCGTGCCTGCCTTTTGAGCTTATTGCCGCGATTGCTATAGCTTTCGATCTCGGAGTCTGAGTCGGATTCTGTTGGGTGGATGGTCAGTTGCCAATCCCTCCATCGCGACAAGCGCAATGAGATTTCCGTACCATATGATTTCCTTTTGAATGCCTTCTTCATACCCGCTATGGTTTCGGCAAAGAGAATTTGTTGCGACGCCATGGTGGACAGAGGGTGGAATGAACAGTCGAATCGACGGGAGTTGTGGGCGAAGCGACGAGGGAGCGCAGGCCTTTTGGGCGCGTCCAGGGAGGAAAAAAGACGCTCGAATACTGTTGGCAGCCCTCCACTACAAGGCTGAGTCTCAGTCCGTGAGAAAAAGTCGTGTTGACGTAGAAAAGCTAACCATAAGCAAATTTGGATCGAGTGTGCTGGGACGACGAGGAGAAGCTGGAACGAGAAGCGAGGCTGCCCGCCTTCCCGTAGCCCATGACCACATTTCCGGGCGCAGACTCTTCTGATTGGTCATTGCCCGGATGATAAAAAAGCCGGCGCCGGATAAAGCAATCCCTGACCGTTTACGATAAGATAAGCCCAATCTGTGGCTCTCATTACTATTTCACTGCTGTATTGGGTGACATTCTTTAAAGATTCGCAGCTTGACTCAGTCTATTTTACCTGAATCACACTAATCTCATTAACTCATGCTACTGATTGCTCGAAAGGACTAAAGTACTCTTTCCTAAGTCAATTGACCGTACCAGGGGGTGCTCCAACAACAAAATGTCACCAAGCTGCAATACGTCAACATGTCATGCAAGCAATTATGACTCGGTGCCAGGCACGTCAACGCCACAATAGACTGTGCAACGCTGTATGACTGCAAGGATATGATCAACTCAATTGGGAAAATAAATAAATAGATTGACATGCCCTGTTACGGGATTGGCGTTTAATCTAAACGGATCTATGAAACTGTGACAGTCACGTTGCCTTTGAAGTTCTCGCTCGAGTTTCCTACAAAGACAGTGAAATCACCAGGCTCCACGACATACTTCATCTTGCGGTTCCATAGACCCCAGTCCTCAACCTTGAGATCAATCTTGACGGTCTGGGTCTTGCCAGCCCTGACGGCGACCTTCTTGAAACCCTTGAGCTGGTATCGCGCAACATCGACAGAGGCAAGCATGTCCTTGACATATAGCTGCACGACCTCAGAGCCGTCGCGCTTGGACTTGTTGCTTACGTCAACGGAAACGGTGACAGTGTCGGTCGCAGTGACGTTCTTCTTGGAGACGGAGATCTTGGAGAAATCGAACTTGCTGTATGACAAACCATAGCCGAATGTGTAGAGGGCCTCGGGGTTCTCAAGGACGTAGTTGCTACCAAACTTAAGGGTACCGTTCTCATAAATCTTACCAGGGTTTGGCCAGGCGCGCGCAGAGTTGAGATGGTCGTAGTAGATAGGCGTGGTGCCGACATCGTAGGGGAAGCTGACGGAGAGCTTGCCCGAGGGGTTGACGTCGCCATACAGAATATCAGCCAGAGCATGACCGCCTTCCTGAGACTGATAGAACTGCTGAATAAGAGCAGAAGCCTCCTCTGAAATCCATGGCTCTGTGATAGGCTTTCCAGAACTGTACACCACAACGGTGGGCTTCCCAGTCTCGATGATGGCCTTGACGAGCTTGGGCATGGCACCGATGAGATTCAAGTTACTCGCATCTATATGTTCTCCTGTAGTGGCGTTTAAACCGCCCCATAGCTCGTTTTGATCTCGAGTCCATGTTCCGACGACTACAACGGCGACATCAGCGGCCTCGGCGGCGGCGACAGCCTCCTTGAAGCCAGACTCGTCTGTAGACCAGCGCTCGCAACCTTGAGTGAAAGTCACTTTGCCTTTGCTAGCGGCTTTGATTCCATCGTAGGGAGTAACTCCACGGGTCATGGCTGTGTGGATGACATAGTCACCGTACTGGTTGTCCAGTTAGTGATGGTTCACCAGATAGTCAGAAAGTACCCACATTGACATAGCCGTGGGCCATGGGACCGATGACAGCAACGTTGGCGTCTTTCTTCAGAGGCAGAATATTCTCATGGTTCTCCAGAAGAACGATACTCTCAGCATCAAGTTGGCGTGCAACCTTCTTGTGAGCCTTGGTGTTGACATAATCCCAAATCTTATCATCTGCGACACCAGTGAAGGGCTTCTCAAAAAGACCCATCTCGAACTTGGAGCGAAGAACACGAGATACAGCGGTATCGACGACCTTTTCGTCAAGTTTACCAGCTTTGACGAGCTCAGGGATGATTTCGAAACTCCAGTAGCCACCACCCATCTCAGCATCGTTACCAGCGGGAAGAGTCTACAAAAGTCAATATTTATCCGGTAGGAGCTTAGGGCGACTTACCTCAAGAGTGATGCATTCATCGTCCTCGAGAGGGCAGACGTAAAAGGCCTGAGCGAGACGAGCAGTACCACCAGCATCGGAAATAACGTAGTACTTATAACCCCACTCTTCTCGAAGGATATCAGTGAGGAGGTAAGAGTCTGAGACGACTGGAACACCATCGTAGGAGTTGTAGGAGGACATTATTGAGGTTGCGCCTCCATCGATGATGGCTCGCTTGAAGGGAGGGAGGTAGAGAGACCGCAGCTCTCGCTCACCACCGTGGACTGGGCCAGTGTTGATACCTTGCTCTGGGGTTGCAAAAGCAGCCTTTGAATGTCAGTACGCGAATTGATGGTGACTGAGCAGACCTACATAGTGCTTAACCATGGCTGAGACACCACCTGCTTGAAGACCCTTAACATATCGATAACCCATTTCTCCAGCTCTAATCGGAAATTAGTAACTACTAGGTAGCCATAAGCTTGATTTGGTAAGAACATACAAATAAGGATCCTCGCTGAAGCATTCCTCAACTCGACCGAATCGCAACTCTCGAGCAAGATCGACTTGAGGAGAAAACAACTGATTGATGCCAACGGCTCGAGACTCTGTTGCAATGACATCGGCCATCTTCTCGATAAGCTCTGGGTTGAACGAGCAACCCATGCCAATTGGGCTATTGAAAATTGTTCCATTCAAAATCAAGACTCCGTGGAGACCTTCACTCTGAACAAAGGCGGGAATACCTGCTGAGCATTAGACCATGAGCCCAATAGTGAAGCATAACACTTGCCAAGCTCAGTCTCCTTAGCCAAATAATCTTGTCCTAGCTTAGCAGCCTTCTTGATAGTAGTCATATTCGCGTATAAGCCTGTCCAGATGGAATTGGCTCGATACTTGAAGTTCCATGCCAAACCAGTCTTATTGACAGTCTCATCAGTGAGATTGAGATAGTTTGTCATATCACCCTGGATCAATTGCGCCGCCTTGTCCTGGATCGTCATCCGCTTGAGAAGGTCCTCAACTCTGTCATCGATAGAAGCTTTGGGATCCTTGTAAACAGGTTTATCCTTGGCAGCCTGGCCGGCCACAGCCAGAACTGCCACGCAGAGGTAGCCAGAGAGCTTCATTGTGAGAGTTGAAGGTGAAGAAGCTGTCTGGAGCTATACACTGAATGCGGTGGGATCGTTATGTTTTATATCAAGTCTGGAACCTTGTCTTTACAATTAACCGTGTAGCCTAGGAGGGGAACTGCGTCACTTCATGATGCTTGACATGGCACCTTACTGTTCAGTAACATTGCATATGAGCTTTAATTGCGGGCTCCTGGTCCATGGATTGTCCCTTGAGGATATCCTCAGGGAGCAAGAAAACGTCTGACCTAAACCTAAGGTGCCAATATTAACTAATATAAAAGCCTACTAAGCATATGCTAAGTTTACCTAAATTTACCTAAGTCTTTTTGTCACTTAGGATAGAGTTCCTAAGTTTTCTTGCTTCTCTAGGATCTTATGGCCGAAGAACAGGACGATCATGACAAGACCCCGGGAAATGCGGGGGCGCCACAAAGAAGGAGATGGGTAAAAGATTGGGATTCGTGGATTTGTTTTTAAGTTGATATGGGATGAGAGTGAGCAAGGGGCGCGGGCCGGTATATGGAAAGACGAGCCGAATATCCTAGCTTCGATGCAGATGAACTGACTAAGAAGGATGAAGCTAGCTACGAACTCGTGCTGGGAAGATCATTTTGGAATAGGTAGGTGTTCTCTGCTTGTTAAACAAGCTGTCATACGTGACTAGGAACCCACATCTCCGTGTAAGGCAAGTTGAGAGACCTCTCAGAAACGAACGATGCATCCTGGAAGACCCCGTTCGTTACAGTGGCCCTGAACCCCGCGATGGGCTGCAGCTAGAGGAGCCCCGTCTGTGTTTAACCGGGTGTGCCTCTAGCGCCCGCTGATTTATCCACCACTTGATCGTCGAGCAGGGGACCCTTGAGGGGACAGGATGCAACTCTCCAAGACCATCATGTGTGTAACTCGTTGCCAGACCCGAACGAATGACGCTGAGGGGACAATGTCATGATAAGTTGGTGGGGTCAAGAGGGGCTGCTCCGGGTGAATTGTCACCGTGAGAGGAGTGGGATGCTGATGCATTTGAGGTTCCATGATGGAGGATTGTTGAAGTGGAGAGTAATACCATATCATTCTCTCTCTCTCTCTTAAACCAAGACTTGGTTATTTCCTAGAGAAACAATCCGTCTTTTCACTCATCAACAGGCCAATCGAACCAAGATACCTCCTATTCCCACTTCAATCAAGAAAACACCAAAATGCATCTCCGCGATGGCATGTGGCTGCCCGCCCAAGACTTTCGCACCGAGTATGCCGAAGATGTCTATGAGATCACTCCCAGCAAGGACCAGCAGGCCCTGAATCTGCTATGTCCAGTGAAGCACATCCGCTCTCGAGGCGATACCCTCAACCAGCCCACACTTGATATCGATATCAAAGCAGAGATGGATGGAGTTATCTCCATCGAGACCACGCATTGGGCCGGTGCTCAACGAAAAGGCCCCAACTTCGATCTCTTCCCAGCTGGGCAGCCTAAAGTTGAGGGAAAGATCGTCAAGAGTGATAAGGGCACTACTATCCAATCTGGAGTTCTCTCTGCCACTATTCATCCTGACCAACATAACTTCGACATCAAATTCCACAGCTCAGATGGCAAAAAGCACCTCACGAACCTGGGCAATCGTAGCACAGGATTCGCCTACTCCCCGGCCCCTAGCACACCAATGCAGACCGGCGACATGCGCGACTTCAAGCACTACATGTTCATGCAAACGACTCTGTCCGTCGGCGAATCCGTCCACGGTCTTGGCGAGCGCTTTGGAGCATGGAACAAAGTTGGTCAGAATGTCATCCTTTGGAACGCCGATGGTGGTACTTCAAGCGACCAAGCTTACAAGAACGTTTCTTTCTGGATGAGCAACCGTGGTTATGGTGTCTTCGTGGATAACCCTGGAAAGGTAGATTTCGAAATTGGTAGTGAGAGGTGTTGTCGTGTGCAAACAACTGTGGAGGGGCAGAGGTTGAAGATGTATATCATCTACGGCGACGGGCCTAAGGATGTTCTCAAGAAATACACTGTCCTCACTGGAAAAGCCAACAGAGTTCCCAGTTGGAGTTTTGGTCTTTGGCTGACGACTAGCTTTACTACCAACTACGACGAGACTACGGTCAACTCATTCCTTGAGGGTATGAAGTCTCGTGGGTCACCTGTTGATGTCTTCCACTACGACTGCTTCTGGATGAAGGGCTTCAGATGGACAGACTTTGTCTTTGACGAAGAGCGTTTCCCTGATCCCAAGGGCCAGATAACGCGACTCAAGGAGAGTGGGCTTTGCAAGAAGGTCTGCGTCTGGATCAACCCATACATCGGCCAAGCTGGTGCGGCATTCAAACACGCTGCTGAGAAGGGCTATCTCCTCAAGCGCAAGAATGGAGATATTTGGCAGTGGGATCTCTGGCAAGCTGGCATGGGTCTTCTGGACGTGACAAACCCTGAAGCTTGTGCCTGGTATACCGAGTGCCTGAACGGACTCTTCGACAAGGGCGTCGATGCCCTCAAGACGGACTTTGGCGAGCGTATTCCCACTCTTGACGTTCAGTGGCACGATGCCTCGGTCGACCCACAAAAGATGCACAATTACTACGCCTTCATGTACAACAAGCTTGTCTACGAGGCTCTCCAGAAGCGATACGGCGAGAAGGAGGCTGTTCTTTATGCCCGCGCTGCCTGTGCTGGAACTCAGCGCTTTCCTCTCGTATGGGGCGGAGATTGTGAGTCTACACCCGAAGCTCTCGCTGAATCTGTCCGCGGTGGGTTATCAATGGGTCTCAGCGGCTTTACTTTCTGGAGCTGCGACATTGGTGGCTTCGAAGGTTCTCCACCACCGTGGATCTACAAGCGATGGGTCGCGATGGGCCTTCTGTGCAGTCATAGTCGTCTGCATGGAAGCAATTGCTTCCGAGTTCCATGGGTTGTCGACAATGATGATACCACCGAGGAGGGTTGCTCCAGGACTCTAGCCAAGTGGACGGCGCTCAAGACGCGATTGATGCCGTATATCTTCTCTCAGGCTATTGAGTCTATAGAGGGTGGGATTCCAATGTCTCTTCGAGCTGTTGCGCTTGAGTTCCCTGAAGATCCAACCTCTTGGTACCTTGATCGCCAGTTCATGGTCGGATCACAGCTCCTAGCAGCTCCCATTTATGAAGAGTCGGGCGAAGTTGAGTTCTACCTCCCTAAGGGAACATGGACATCTTATTTCACGAACGAAGTCAAGTCTGGTCCTGGATGGTTTAAGGAGAAGCACGCATTTGGCACATTGCCTCTTTACGTGCGCGAGAACACCGTTCTTGTCCTCGGGAGTTGCAAGGAAGTTGGTGCGGATTATGACTTTGCGAACAACGTTGAGGTTGCTTTGTATCAGGCTTCTCCTGGTGCTAAGGCTACTGTGGTGGACGGAGAGGGAAATGTTGTTGCTGAACTTGTAGTTGGACAAGATGGTAAGCTCGAGGGTACTGATAAACTCAAGGGTGATTATAAGGTTGCTGAGAAGGGTCGTGACTTGAAGGGAGATGCCCCAGTCTCAATCGAGTCTCTGTCATAGGCACATAGATTTCATGACTCAAGTTACTATATAGAGGACTTGATTAAATTGTTGCTATTTGTTCTGAGACCGAGGCTCTTGACTGTCGATATGATGTCTTTCATCTCATGTCTCGTAGTGTTCCCTAGAGCCACAACAGAACTCGGTTCATGACCATAGTCTTCAAAATCACATGTCAATTTGCAATGATTACAATATCCGAAGACCGGACATTTGGACATTGGTGTCCTGGTGAAAACATCCTCCATGTAACCAGTTACTCGTGCCGTAGTCCCGAGAGGTTGGAACATGTCAAGCCTGCTCGTCAGCACTAAGCAGCTACCTTGGAACTCCACAAAGAGCATGAGTTAGCGAGAATCCTCTGAAAATCCTTGAAAGAATTGTATCTCATGATGATTCTTCCAGGCGGAGTCAAGAAATGTAGGACCTATATCCTAAGAGGCAAAAAAGCCTAGGTAAGTTTAGGATAGACTTAGGCAAATTTCGTATGCTTAGTGGGTCTTTAGTTGCTTTTTGGCACCCTTCCATAGGTATCAATAGAAATGGCAGAAGCTTCTTGTTCTCTGAGGCCACCCCACAGTGATTCCCAACCGAGTCCGCGTTTAGGTTCCACTGAGTCTCCAGCGGGGTTTGGGGGTTAGGAATTGCCCGAAATGGTAATTTTAGTGGTCTATAGTCGTCGCGATTGGTTGGTCGTTTTGCTCGTGAAGTGGGCAGTCATATTGTACAGAGGATCTAGACAAGTGGGAATAAACATATGATCATCTAGACAAGTAACGTAGCAGGGAATTGCAGATCAAATGACGGAACTAGAGGAATTCCCCCCCGATGACAATTTATCCGGTTGCTCAAAATGTGGCATCATAAGCGGTGACCTGAGTGCCACTATCCACGAAATGGAACATGCAACTTGCCCATGATATGGAATGTGAATGATCACCGAGCATTCGCGCAGAACCATTTAGAAGAGAAGGAGATATCTGCCTTGGAAGAACTGGAGCCTTGCCGGTATCATGTGATGTGTGGCAATATGAGATGAAAACCAGACCTCTGATTGCACCCCAACAATTGAGTGCATCAGAAGAACCTATAAACACTGAATATCGGCAATTGCATTCAACTGCCGTGCAACGAAGATCAAAATGGATGATTAGAATATGCATATTCGAGGCACTGTCTTTTGAGGTTACATTGTCACGGTGTAATATTGATGGGGAGGGTATATGTGATTAATTAAATGATCATAAAGGCCTCCCGACCGTCTCAGAACTCTTTCATGATGCAGACCTGGTTGAGTTTGCGGACCCCCAAAGCCGAAGGACTCGGGCTTATTCACCTTTTACATACATGTCCCTCGAGTAGCCGAAGCCCAGGTGCCTTTTGTCTCACTATCAGTACTTGGAAGCATGAGTTTACATGACAGACAGTTAGAGCACATGCAGGGCTGTACTGACAACGGCGTAATTCCTCCGTCAGAAACCAGTACCAATCTTACCTTGATGCATTTGGTGGATCTTGAATATACACATAATAATAGAATAAAAGGCCTGCCTGTTGTATCCGACGATGATCTGAACTCGGGTCGGGTCAAATACCCCCGAACGACACTGATTGGTCCGGGTGTAAGCAACCACACGAAGGATCAAAGGTTCCCTTACAGGTTCCTCTACTCCATGTAGACAGCTGCATTCAAATTTAGCCGGGATGGAAAAAGCTAAAGGCCATGTGCTAAGATGTCTGAGATCAGACCATGATCGTAGTTCGACTTTTGTATCGTCTAGTCTCTGATCAAGGTATTGACACGGTAATAACTCTGGTAGGTTAGGGGCGATTGTACGCGTTGAAGTTTAGAGTGTTCATTCATAGGCTGGTTATTCTTCAACACCATTTAACCGCCGCATCGAGGGGCCGGTTGCCGAACACTAGTAGTATATTCTCCGACCGCTCGGAACCGACGAGGAATCGCACCAGGGGCACCATGTAGTTCTACGGGATCACGATTTTCGGCATGTCATGTCCCATCTAGAGCCTCGGCCGAAGCCGGGGAGAGGTCAGATCAGGGCTGAAGATGCAGAAACGGGCCGTTACTGGTCATGCGTAGGGTTCACTATGGAGATAGCAATAAACCTTGCGTGATATCGCCGCCTCTAGTAGTATGACTGTTGCGGAGGTGGCCTTTGGGGCCCCCTGGGGAAGAAGAGGCCGTGGGTCTTTGAGGATCAGGGTGTAGTTAGAATTGATCAACATGCTTCATGAAGCATTGAGAATGGAGCCATTGCTTTGGGGGTGATGATCATACAAATAGTGAAAGGTCCGCTGTTAGCATTGGATCTAATCCACATGCTATTTATCATCTAATACATTGGACTACGAATCACTTATACGACTTTACAGGTTAAGGCTCTCAAATGGGGAAGGCATACAGTATCGGCCTGGCTTGCTTTGCAGCCATTGGGTACGTACGAGTTATTTGGATGTTTCGTTCCTATAGGGAAGATGTTGACTGATTTGACCGATAGCTCGTTTCTTTTTGGTTATGACTCTGGTGTCATGACAGACGTGATAGCATCGAAGCACTTCCAGAACTACTTTGACACAACATCTACATCCTCCATTATAGGCGCCATTAACTCAACATTCAGCGGTGGAGCAGTATTTGGCGCCTTGTTCGGTGGAGTTATTATGGATAAGTATGGTCGAAGAAAGACGATCGGAATCGGTGCAGCTATTTGCACGGTTGGCGGTATTCTTCAAGCGGCGGCCTATCAGTACGTTTGAATTGTTGAACACAACTACTATGAACTAACTAGGCGGCAGTCTGGCTATGATGCTTATTGGTCGAATTATTGCTGGTTTTGCTGTTGGTTTGCTCTCTATGAGTGGTCAGTCAATCTTCCGATTCGTGAATTTGATTAACTTATGATGTATAGTTCCCGTCTATCAATCCGAATGCGCCAGCCCCAAGAATCGAGGACTTATTGTCGGCCTCGCCCAACAAATGATTGGAGTAGGTTTCATTGTATCAACATGGGTTGGATATGGAAGTCATCATATGCCCGATACTTCATCTTTCCAATGGCGTTTCCCCTTGGCTTTCCAAACATTCCCGTCTGCACTTTTGTGCTTGGGTATGCTCTGGCTTCCTGAGACACCCCGACATCTCATCGCGACAGATCAGTTGGACGATGGAATGAGAACGCTTCGAAAGTTGCACTTTGATGGCTCGAATGATGAGTGGATCAAGTCTGAGTTCAATGAGATCAAGCTCACTCTTGATGCCGAGAAGGCTGCCACTGCACCTGGTTGGATGATCATGTTCAAGGTGCCTCAGTGGAGGAAGCGCCTTATGCTTGGAACTCTTGTTCAAGTCTTTACTCAATTCACTGGTATGATGCCTTGTATTGGAGAACCACCTGTTTCAAGAGCACATACTAACATAAATCCTAGGAATCAATGTTATTGGGTAAGCTTTTGACCTATTCTTGAATCCTTGACGCTGTCTTGATTTCTGAACACCATTCTGATTTCACCTCAACTTTCGCCATGACTGCTTGCTTAAAATACAGAAACATTGACAAGTATTTCGTATACGCTCACTAACAGAAGTACGCAGTTACTACCAAACCATTATGTACGAGAAGCTTGGAATCACTGGAAAGACAAGTCTTCTGGTTGCAGGCATCTACAACTGTACCGGTCCTTTGGCCAGTAAGTTCGGCATCTTGTTTCCTTCAATAAGTTCCCTGTTTGAAGACTAACAATTTTGAGATCTGTTTTTCATCACCTTTATCTCTGATAGGATCGGCCGAAAGAGGCCTCTTATTTATGGAATTATTGCTATCACCATTGCTCTGATCCTAGAGAGTGCGGTCAACTCTCAAAACGTCGATGGCTCACACCGTGGCCTAAGTATTGCCGGAGTTGCCTTCTTATTCTGTGTCACAATCATCTTCTCGCTATCGTTTGGTCCTGTATCCTGGACGTACATGTCTGAGGTAATGCCATATCAAATCCGAGGAAAGGGTTGCGCATTCGCCACAGGTATCGGTAACTGGCTTGTGAGCACTTTCTGGAACCAAGTCAGTCCCTTTGCCCTCGAGGAGCTTGGTTGGAAGTTCTATTTCCTCTTCGTTGGTAAGTAAACTCCGTGGGGCTTTTCTTTGGTCAATTGACTTACACCAACAGCTTTCAATCTTGTCATCACACTGCCCACCCTTATCTTTGCTTTTCGAGAAACGAAGGGGCTATCTCTTGAGGAGATTGATCTCATGTTTGGCGATCGAGCTCTCGGAAACCTTCCTGCGGATATTGAGAAGGACGGCGGTGTCATTGCTGTTACCAACACCCATGATGAGAGACCTCGCCAGGAGCTTTGAGCGGCGAACCTCATCCGTGTTAATAACTTCTAATGGGCTATATAACAGAAGGATTAGAGGACATAATTTCAAGATGACCCTAGAAAGTTGAAAGATCTAGTATAAGAAGACCTCTATATATCTAATAGCCACGTCCTATCGTCGTTCCATTCGCTGATGTCCTTCAGAGACCACCTTCTTCGGTACAGTATCTAAACTCAGGCTAGGAGAAGAGAGGAAAGAGAACTCGATCCTAAGCAATGAAAAATCTTAGGCAAGTTTAGCATAAGCTTAGGAGGCCCTTTGATGAATTTATCATCCGGTTCTTCCTCAATATGGACTTTTTACACCATGTTCATGCCCGTCGAACTCATCATTGAGCTGATAAGGGACCATATGCTTGATGTTGAGCTTGACGTAACATAAAAAGAGGTATTTATATATGCTCTACATAACATAACTCATAATGACCCAAACCATTCCGGTATATCCCCAACGCCGAACCATGATATCTTAAGCACGTCTATCCTCTATGTTTCTTTTCTCTACCATTCCGGCGCACCGCCACCACAACCATTCGCTGCCATCATAAGGTCAAGTGGCTTAGTGGTCATCTTCGCACCACCAGTCGGCTTGACATACGGCTTCTTTCCCCTCAACCCAACAAACTTGATCTTGCTGTCAAGCTTAGCAAGAGGCGCCTCACCGGCCTCGCCCTTCTTGACCATCCACTTCTTTGTGCCCAAGGCGGCATCAAGCTCCTCCACAGGGGGAAGCTTGAGGTACAACATACCGTCGGCTCGAGCCTCGGTAGGGAATGTGGCGATGGAGAGAGACTCGTCTGTCTTGCAGGCACCGTTGCCAAGGTCAAAGTTGCGCTTGTGGTGAGGACATGAGACCCAGGGTGAAGCACCATCCTTATCACCATTCGTCACAGCCTTGTTGGGCTCTTGGCCGATGAGACCGTCAGAGAGGATAAATGCACGCTTGTGAGGACACATCTGTTGTGTGGCGTAGTAGACGCCCTTGATGCGCCAGATGGCGAGCTGCGTGTCACCGCGCTTGACAGTGGCGGAGATACCGTTTGGCAACTCGTCAGCACCGTCAAAGTATGAAGATTCGATGATGGGTTCCCAAGAAGTCATGGACCACTTGTCCTTGAGACCTGAGAAGTTGTCTGTAGCTGCAGCGTCCGCAGGCCAGAAAGCTGGTCGCTTCTGACCACGGTCATCTTCAAGCTCCATGTTGCGTGTTGTGTCGTTTGTGTTGGCGAACTGCTTGAACTTGGCAGCGATGGCAGGGCTCTTGATAGCTTCGGCCCACTCGTCGAAGAAGCTGTCAACAAGCTCTTCCATCTGCGCCTCGAGTGAGGCGTTGATGCCGAGCTTGTCCTCAAGGATGACCTCCTGAAGGTACTTGATACCACCGGGGAGGTTCTCGATCCAGCGGGCTGTTCGCTGAAGCTTGTCGGCTGTGCGCATGTAGAACATGAGATATCGGTCAAGGATTGTCACGACATCAGCTGGGGGCACATCCTTGGCTAGAAGCTCGGCATGGCGAGGGTTCGCACCACCGTTACCGCCAACGAAGATGTTCCAGCCCTTCTCAGTGGCAATCAAACCGAAACTGAAATCCATGTTAGCGGACCGAAGAATTGAAAGACGGGGGCAAAACATACTCTTTGCCTTGAGCTTCAGCACACTCTCGCACACAACCACTCACACCACCCTTGATCTTATGAGGAGCTCGAATACTCTTGTATCGCTCCTCCAGACGAACGGCCATACCAACACTGTCACTCAGACCGAATCGACACCATGTAGAACCAACGCAACTCTTGACGGTTCGCAGAGACTTGGCATAAGCATGACCGGACTCCATACCACCAGCAACAAGCTGGCCCCAGATGTCGAGAAGGTCCTGCTTCTGGGCACCAAACAAGTCGATACGCTGACCACCTGTGATCTTGGTGTAGAGGTTGTACTTCTGGGCAACCTCGCCAATGACCACAAGCTTGTCAGGAGTAATCTCACCACCGGATACACGAGGGACAACAGAGTAGGTACCGTCTCGCTGGATGTTACCCAAGAAGCGATCATTGGTCTCCTGGAGACCGTGAGTGGTCTTGTCCATGACGTGTCTGTTCCACAGTGAAGCCATGATGCTTGCTACCACAGGCTTGCACAGCTCACAGCCAAGAGCCTCCTTGTCGTTTCCAGCCTCGCGCATCACTTCACCCATGTTCTTGAGGCGCTTGACCATGATGATGTTGAACAGGTCAGCGCGAGAGTGGTTGAAGTGCGAGCACACGTAGTTGGTGACCTCCTGGCCCATAGATGCCATTGTCTTGTTGAAGATGGTGGTGATGAGCGGAACACAACCTCCACAGCCGGTGCCGGCCTTTGTGCACTTCTTGATGCTGGCAACATCCTTGCAAGTGCCATCCTTGACAACCTTGACGATGTCGCCCTTTGTGACGTTATGACACGAGCACACCTGAGCATCATCGTCGAGATCATCAGTATCCTCGCCACCATCCTTTTTGGCACCGAGAATAAGCTCGCTGGGAGAAATCTCAAGCTCCTTCTGCGCCTTGACCATTGGTAGAAGCTTGACGTAGTCACAGACATCGCCAATCATCATACCACCAAGAAGGTACTTTCCATCCTTAGTAAAGATGTACTTCTTGTACACATTCGAGAAAGGGTCTTTGTATGTAAGAGCTTGTACAGCTTTGGGCTCTTTAGCGTCGCCATTGACGAGTGTCCTGGCGTACTTGGGAGGAAGCGTCACGGGACCATCGCGGTCAGCGAAGCAATCACCGAAACTAGCGACGTTGACTCCGAGGAGCTTCAGTTTTGTGCTCATGTCGGGAGTCTTGAAGGTCTGAGGGCTGTGGAGCTTGGCTTGTGTGAGGTTGAAAGCGACGACTTCGGCCATGGCTACACCAGGAGCGATAAGACCGTAAGCCATACCACGCCAGCTGGCGCACTCTCCAATGGCGTAGATATCGGGCATACTCGTTCTCAAGTCATCGTTGACGACGATACCACCGCGCTGTCCAACTTCGAGGTTGGCGCTTCTGGCGAGGTCATCTCTTGGCTTGACACCAACAGCAAAGCACAGTGTTGAGCAGCTGATCTCTGAGCCATCATCAAAGATAACCCCAGTGAGGTTGTTGTTCTCGTCAGTCTTCATGCTCGACACGCCCTTGCCGAGATTGAGGTTCACGCCAAGCTGCGAGACCTGATCCGCTACCATCTTGCCACCAGTCTCGTCGATCTGTCTTGTGAGAACCCACTGAGCCTTCTCAATAACATCGACTCTGTTGAAGGTCTCAAGATCAAGCATGGCCTTTGCGGCCTCAAGACCGAGAAGACCGCCACCAACGACAGCTCCATTGGTGCCCTTCTTGTCGTTGGAGAACTTGATAAGCTTGTTCAAGTCTTCGATTGTGCGGTAGACGAAAACACCATTTGCGTCCCAGCCCTTGAGCATACGGGGAAGAATAGCATCTGAACCGGTGGCGAGGACGAGGATGTCGTAGGGGTAACTCTCGCCGTTTGCGCATTCGATGATTTTATCCTCGGTGTTGATGTGTGTGGCTTTTGTGTTGACGTGACAGTTTAATGAGCTTCCAGCTTCTGTGTACTGTAGGTTGTTAGTGCCTGGATTGCAGTTTTGGTTCAGATTGAACGTACCCATTCTGCTGGGTTCATGTATAGTTCTTCAACTTTTCGGTGCTCGAAGAATGTTGTGAGTCCTACTCGGTTGTAGGCGAGATATGGTTCTTCTCCAACCACTGTGATGGCGTATTCTTTTGATTTGGCGTCATATTTAAGCAGCTTTTCTCTGTATTATTGTCAGATCACGGCAGGCAAGTAAATAATGTAAATGGACTTACATGAAAGCAATGCCCACCATGCCCAGGCCAACGACCACCACTCGTTTTTGTGTCGTTGCAGTCATTTTGACAAGTTAATATTAAACAAGTACACTTGGGAGAGGAACCCAAAAGATAGAAGGGATATCATGGCCTCTCATGGTTATAAGTGATTCTCAGAGCCTGTTACAAAAAGAGGGTCTTCTGTACCTCAAGACCACAAACTATGGATCCCCCTGATGTTTTCCTCATCTCCCTATCTAGAACGTACATCTCCGGGATAGTACAGCTCGTGCTAAGCATTTCCGCCGTTCGTCCATAGAACGTGAGCGCATTTGCAGCTCTCGGCAGGGCTGATCTTTGATAAGGAGACTGCGCACCGTGGCTGAGGGACCAATCAGGGACTGCGCCCGCACGGTAGAGGCGTTTTGGGCTCCGCGGAGAAGCAATATTCTCACCAAGGGGTCGTACGTCGGAACACACCACGACAGAGCATGATATGAGGTCTTGAGGTGATTCTCAGAATCGCATCCGGTTTCTGGCGAAATATTATGCTCCAAGTCATAGTTTCACCGTACGGTGAAGTCTTTTGTGGGTTGTTGACTGATCTGAGTCTCGGTGAAGGCTGAAGCCATCTCGAATACCGCCTAGTTCAGTGTAGAATTGTCACTGCTCTTTCTTGGCCCTTCTCTCGAGAACATGTCCTCAGGTCCTGAACAGGGAATGTCATTGTTCTAGACTCGCTCAATCAAAATCCTCACTCAAAGCCGGATAACAAAATTCCTCGAGCTATTTTTGTGTGTTGTATCGATCGGGAATATTTACTACCTTAGTTCCCATATTCCCTGTATTAACCTTTCTCCTCGGAGTGAGCCTCCTTATCAATGCCGACATAGATAAGCCTCAATATCAACCTCTTCTGCTTTGCAACACAGCGACTCTAACTGGGCGATACCTACAGTTCCCCCACAAAGATAACACCACGGCTCAGTGTCACGGAGATTCAATTGTCAAGCATTCTCCACGGAATAATCAACAAGAATACGCAGAGACTATGGGGGACAAGTCCGTTATGTGGAGTCTCGGAGAGGAATCCCTGAGGCGAAGTTTGGTGTCGTGTCGTACGAATGGAGATGATCTGATTTACAAACACGAATTCAAACTTTGTTCTGGTATGTTATTCCAAGCGAAAAGGACTGAAGGAATTTTATTTACTCCGTAGATCTTCATCGCATGGTTCGATAAGGTAGCAAGGGTTAATCAAGAATGGGATACTGAAGTCTGAGGCCTAGAATTGCATCGCATTACCGTAAACGGCTTTGGCCGATCAACCTATCACACGTGTTTAGCCTGACGGGTACCTTAGCTGTAGAGCCCCTCCCACGTCATCGTCTCAGCCCCTCCAATCCTCAACACCACACAGACATCACCAACCTAGACAATGGCGACTACCACCGAATCCTCCTTCACATTCCCCCGCGAGTACCATTTCCCCGCCTTCTTCACACGCCAAACTAATCTCACTACACTCCATGCCCAGCGCAACAAATGGTCCGATCTTATCCTCGCCTACGCGCGACATAACCGTATCTTCCGCCTATCGCTGTCCGAAGCAGCAGATTCAGATCTCTTTGTAAACCGAAAGCTCGATCGAAGGCTACAATTTGATGACATCCGTGATGTGATTTCTTATATGCACACAGATGGGCGTGTAGAATACGTCGGAGGCAAAACAACAGGGGATGTTGTGTTTCTGTATTGGCGAAAGCCCGAGGAGTGGGCGGAGCTTGTAGAGAACTACGTCGAAGAGACGGGGCAGAAGGGCAGTGTTCTTACAGTCTATGAACTTGTCGAGGGAGATGGTACAAAAGGAAATGGTAATTTCAGTCAGACCAGACAATATGTTAAAGATCCTATGGCTGATCCTCATAGACATTCACGGCATGGACACAGATGTCCTTCTAAAAGCTCTGAACATCCTCGTCAAACGAAACAAAGCTCAAATATTCGGCCAGGACGACTCATTAGGCGTCAAATTCTTCTAAGCACCGAAACATACATACTCATCTCTACATAAGGCACATGCGACTTTTCATCACAGTACGCGCACCAATATGAACCGACTACGGACTCCAACATCGGCAGCGATGTTAAACCATCCTGAACGCCATCAAGCAACAGCCAGAGAAAGGGCTACTGCGAATTTCCGTAAAAGTTCTCCGCCAGAAACTTGTCATCAAACCGCACCTGTTGAGCCATTGCGACATCGAGCAACCAGTCAGGTGCAACAATACGAGGCTCCATGTTGCCGTTGTACGCCATATCACGGAATTTCTCCCAAAGCGGCCTCTCGTCGGGACGTCCGCTACTTAATAGGTAGACCGGCTCGGGTGGCGCGTTACCCTCCTCCTCTGCCGTTGTTGGTCGGATTGTCGTCCCGCTCCGAGCCCGGTAGATCTTGAAGATCGCCCCGTTGGCCTCGGCGATCGCTTTGTAGCTCTCCGCACCATTGCGGATCTTTTCCGTGCAATAGATGGGAACACCAACAAGAAGTTTGCCTCTATTTGCCTTAGCACGAGCGACTGATGTCTCAAGGACCATGTTGTGCCTTTTCTCGGCCGCATTGTCTTTGAGGATGAAATCCTCAACGTCGAGAAGGGTACCCTTGTCCAAAGACTGGTCAATGAAAGTTGATGAGATCACTGTTGGGCCGCGTGCAAGCGCGCATAGGAATTTGACAGTGCGGACAACACTAGGGGCTGCCAGATAGTCGCACGGTTGACCCTCTTGAACGATCTGTATCCCCATGTCCCGGAGTTTTCTCTGTCATTTGGTTAGAATAGATTCAAACAAATGGCTCGCGCTTACGTACTCGATCTTGATCTTCCTTGTTCTTGTCTCCAACCCAGCGAGTGAATCCAGTCAAGACGACACGCATCTGAATGTCTGGAAGTGACTGCTTGGTCTTCTTGGTCGGCCGCTTCGCTAACGCGTCGGCATCTTCATCTTCAGGCTTCTCATCTTGTTTGGTTTTGCTGTTAGTCTTTTCGGCCTGGTCGGCTGCTCGTTTTCCACCCCAGATTGCATTGCCTCCCTTGGCATGTCTCTTCTTCTCCTTTTCATAAAGCGCGATATCGTCGCTCAGGCCATGCAGACGTTCTTGAGCTTTCGCTTTGGCGCTACGGCTTCCTGTAGAAGCCACCGACGGTGTCTCGTTCTCCTTCCCAGTACGACGTGGACGAATTGGTGTTGCATCTCCGATGGTCCTCGTCTTCTTTGCAGACTTCTCGCTCTCTCCTCTATTAGAGTCTTCCATCTCAACGTCCTCATTGCCAACCTGACCAACAACAACACCCTCTGCTGGCCCTCGTGAATATGCGTTATCCTCTGCAGCTTCCAGGATTGCTCGCTTCCTCTTGGCTCGCGGTGATAGCTTGTCCTGCCCCCCGGGGTAGTACTTTTCGCGCAACTTTGGTTCATCAAAGAACGTTTGCCCGATTACCTCGCCCAGGTTAGTGCGCGGAGGGAAATGATTATACTTCTTAATGTTGATGGGCCTAATTTCGCACTTGGCATAGCTTTCCTCAATCCAGAGATGGTTGATAACGGCAATCCCCCATTCAGGAGCAGCCTTGCATTTCTCGCTAGAGTCTCTAGCAGTGATTAAATGCGTGTTCTCAGCTCTCATCGTTCTGGTGAACTCGGCTCCAGAAGCCTTGATCAGGTTCTCCAGGTAAATTCGTGCTTCACCACCGTAATTTGATACTGTAATGCGTAGACCCCTGAATCCTTCTATACCATCCTTGGGGATCGGATAGTGTAGCAATCGACGAAGGGGCGATGTCCACTCGTTATGAACGATAAGCCAGTAAAGCCAGGCCAGATTTCCAACTTCTTTGCACGACTGCGCAGCTTGGACATATTGCGGACCATCGCGATATTGGCAGATGAGCATGTCACAATCCTCGACCTTATCCACGAGCCTTCCGCCTCCTCTGACGATGATTTCCTTGACCACCTTTGACAGTCGATCGGTTATAGTTAGATCCCCGGATAGCAGTACATTTCGGTCTTGGAAGACAGTGGCCGGTGGGCGTACAATCTCCCCATCAGAAGGTAAGGGTAAAGGCAGATAATTCGGTGTCGGCGATGTCGCACCCGCGAGGTTTTCGTTGGAGGGAATTTTGAGATCGTCCGCGGAAGTCTTCTTAAGAATTTCGGGATCGGGTAGTAGATAGGGACCTTCGTCGATACGTTTCCCAAGTTTGAAACAATCATCGAACCTGGAGATTGTCAACGACCAGCATTATAAGCCATTTGCGCAAGACTTACCAGTGTGGCAGCACAACTTTGCCTTTCCATCCCTTTTGTAGAGCAACTTGGACCTTGGGATGATCCATCGATAGGGCGCAAATATGTGTGGTCAATTTAGACGCATCTTTTGTTTCTTGTCCACCCAAAGCCATTGTAGCACCAGCAATACTCTCCTTGTCGGTCTCTGGTAGATCCGCGCAAGTCACCACCACCTCGGAAAAGATCATTCTCGGATCAGGCGAAAAAGGTCTAATTTGAGCCTGTTTCCTGCGAGCTATTGAGAAGGTGATCCATTGAGTCGTCACTACAGGGATCATATGGGCCTGTGCCTCAGTGAACTGGGGGAAATCGATCGTGTTGGAGATGATGTGGGTGACCTTCTCGATCGGTAATGAGCCGTCGCGTCGAGGTTCGCATATTTCTGCACCATTTTCTTCTAAGATTGTTGATAGCTAGGAGTTGTCAGTATTGATAATTGAGCTTGGCAGCTTCAGCATACCTCTCCGACCAGTTTGGGGGTCAGTAAATTGCTGGCAACGAACGCGATGGCGCATTCAGCAAATGTGTCGGTGGTGGCCATGTCGCGTGTTCAGGGCAAAAAGATAGGATGAAAGAGAACAAAATAAGCGAACAACACCGTGGTTATGACATTAAGTCAAAAAATTAATCTAAGCTCAAGAGATCAACAGCTGCGGGAAGATATTAGGTTGGTGTAGAAGATACCGTGGGGTGCCTAGAAACTATGTGAAGCTGCAGACGCGCCGGCCACTCAACGCGAGAGTTTGACGCGTGCACGTGACCATCAAGTCCACCTAAATGGCCTTATGAGTGGAGCGGGCACCAACCTTCAGTTGGGGAAGGCGGTACCGCGCAGTCAGTGATGAAGGTGGTACCAAACACCAGCATAAGAAAATTCAGTTATTGTGATAGCAGATCTTTTGATATGACTATCATTCAAGACTGGAGAATCACATTTTGGGGCCTAAGGCTATCATGAGCAGTTCCCAGGGACACGTGTGTCTAAGGGCTGTATTAATATAGTATCAACATCTCCGTCCCAAGTTCATCATCCGAATATATTCTCCGTAAGAAATCATCCAAAGATATTTTCATCTCAAAAACCAAAACGCCCAACACCGATGCAATGCTATAACGTGACATTAAAATGGCGTATACCCGTTCCTTTTCTTTAGCCAACCACGCCCAATGGCCCCTCTACGACCTCCTCCAAAGAGGCCAAGGCCACTGCTGCTCCCATCAGGGAGCTCTCCTTTGCTGACACAAGCTTGATTGTTCTGTTTCCAGACTTTTCCATCTTGTCAGCCGCTACCAAGTCATTTAGATACGACTGACAACTATCAAGATAGCCAGGGTAGCTCTCAATAACACCGCCGTTGTAGGCTACTGTCGTCTCAGCCAGGTCACGGTCTGCTTCGGCGCTGTCTCGCTCAGATGATTCGGGTGATAGTGTGGACACGAACTTGTTCTGGCTGTCGATGCGCAAGTTCCAGAAAGCGTGTACGCCAGCAGCAACAAGCGCACTTGAGCGCCTGGAGATTAGACCGGCTAGTTGCTTGAGGAATGATAGATCAGCACCTGTGGGGGGTTGGCTCGATGGGTGGCGAGAGGAAAATTGCTTGCGTGCCTCTTCGGCATCAGAGCTTGTATCCCTATGATCGTTAGCATGCTGAAGCTGGACAATCTTGAGTCTAAAACTCACCTCTCAATGATAGAAAGTGTCTCGGTTGAGAACGAGTAAGGTTTCTCCAGGGACACAGGAACAACACCTCCAAAAACCCCAGTCGACTCAATCGCCTCAACAAGTGCCAATCTGCAAATCTCGCCCAGATACATGCCGCTGACCATGTGCTCTAGAGGCTGAAACTCAGGTCGGGAGTGATTCACCAATAATTGCCGGTCCCATCTTGTCAAGGGCAAGATATCACGTCCCATCATGCTGATCTCGCTGTTGATGATGACATGTGTCGCTTTCTCGAACCATTGGGGAGGACGCTCGCCAAATTTGACACGTCCGATGGCGGATACAGGAAGATAGGCAGCGAGGTTGACGCCAGTACCAAGGATGAGACCGAATCTCGTTGTGGGGTGGTTATACGACTCCGATAGTAAGCATGCACTAGAGTCGTTGACAATAGCTCGAAGTTCTACGTTGAGACCGCGGTTCAAGCAGGCTGTTCGTACGATCTCTCCAAGATCTTGACCCAACAACCCGTTGCACGCAGCGAAGCCCTTGCCCATCCCTTGCAACTTGCCACCTGCCAGTGATGTTTGTCTAACAAATATTAGCTCTGGACGAAAGGGCGTGTGGAATAAGCATACTCAATGGGAAAACTCCATGCCATCGACATAGGCAAAGGTCCATCAGATCTATCTTGCTGCTCTAGCTCTGCTGATAGAGTCTCTAGTATTTTCTCGGCCATCCAGTCGAAGAACAACATGCCTTCTAGGGCTTTGATCTCGGGTGTGATGTGGAAGTTTCTCATGCTCACAATCCTGCTCTCCTCACCAATATTGGACACGCGACCACACAGTTCCACCAATGCTACTCTGAGGGTCGAACCACCAACATCCAATGCCACAAAGCGGCCGACCTCTGTACCTCTTGGCAGCTGATGACTGTATGACGGGAGCATACACTCCATATCAGTTTCTAGTCGCTCTAGGAGTTGTTTCCGTAGGTTGTTAGATAGTTCTTGCAGGCCATCTTGACTGACAGGGTCGAGGAAGAGAGCCTCTGCCTCTTTGAGGAAGTCTTGGGCAGATTTGCGTGGCGTATTAGCGAATCGCGTCTTTGTGTTTGTCTCAAGCCCCAGAGAGCTGCCCCAGTAAGCCAAGAGTGACTGAACCAGTGATTTCCCCCGAAGGAGGCTCTTGATGATGGCAGCCAAGAGTGTCTTTTGAAAAGTCGCTGACATGATAGTAACGAGTGATTATGGAAAATAGAAACGAAAGGGGAAAAGGAAGAAGGTTTGAGTCATGGACACGGCAGAATGTAAATAGTCCAAGAGAATGCGAAAAGAAGAGGTTGAAGCAACCGCCTTCGAAGGAATAGATGGGATGGGGTGAGGGTGAGAATCTTACGCCCCGATGGATGGACCAACTACTGCTGCTACTAGCAGGTGGAGGGTGTCTGATGGACAGGCACAGGTTCCTGGATAGGTAGCTCAGACGAGGGGAGATCTGAAGGAAACAACACGAAGATGGAGATGGGCCACCTCTGATGGGACATGCCAGGAGTTGACGGGGTCAAAGCATGAGAAGGGACGGGTAGAGCGGAGCAGACGACAACAGAGTCCCGCAGAGAAGAAGCAGAAAAAGAGTCGACGTTGCAAGGGGGAGTCGGTCTGGTCGAATTCAGTTCAGTGCGGTGCAGTGCAGTTCACGCTGTCATGGAAGTAGAGGGAGAGCAAGAAGAGTAGGTGTAGGTAAGTGGTAATTGGTAGTAGTAATGTATCATATCGCCTCCAATTCGTCCATGAGATCAAAATCAACGTCGCACAGCGAAAGCGCCCGCTCACGCACACGCTCTCTCACAGGCGACACGCGACAACCGCCACAGCGCTGCGAGCCAGCAAATTAGTGAGCAGAAGCGCCTGTAGCTGTAATTGTCATTGTGGCCTTTGACCTCTCTGTGGCCTTGGAGATTGTTGGGTCAGACGGGGTCGAGGATCGTAGCCAGATGTGGAGGAGTTAGTTGTAACGTAACGTTGCGTGTGAGTGTGAGTGCCCCGTGAGAAAGTGGATGGTTTTTTATTAGTGAGTGACATGGGCCCCGTCACGTTTTAATTGTTAGTGCACCGCTACTACTATGGGAGACCAAGAGGAGGCTTATTTGTGGTCGTCTCAACAATCTCCATTAGTTCAGAGGGTTCATCTGATTTTACATGTTACTTCAAACTTGTTTTTGTTACACAGACATCGCCAAGGAACGTAATTTGAAACAATCTGCCCTTCTTCGGCGCGTCTACCACTAACTATCCTGGACCCCTGCATTGAAGTGACCTTGCCATGAACATGAACAAGAACAAGAACAAAACCCTGGAACCAATCCTGTCATCAACTAGTGCGCTTACACGGCTTCAATTCTTGATCATCTTGAGGGTGGTGACCTCGGTTTCATTGCTGAGGCGGAGACTTCACGTAACGACAAAGTTTCAGAAGTATCCAATACGAGCAAAAGAACTCTATCATGCTTCCACCTCCCATAAAGAGAAATCAGGATTCCGAGACCTATGTACCATGGATCTGATAACATCCCTCCAACGCTACCTTACATCGGAGCTAATGCCGGCTACTGTATATCACTGACTATATCCGTCTTTGCCCCGTAGAAACAAGGAAGCTTGGCTTTGGCCAATGGAAGCAGAAGCAACCTTGACAACACTACCTACCTTACCTATCATGAGCAATACAGTGCGGCTTTTCAAACAGTGTCAAACTTCATAGTAAACGTTTCATTCCCTCCACCATGAATCACTGCACCTATCGTGACTTGCTATCCAACCTTACATTGCCCACTGACCGAGGTCGCCCTCCCCACGCTGCATCATGAATGGCAGTGGGAGAGCGGAAAGGAAAGTGGCGTCCTTATCTAGTGGCTTCTATCATGATGCAACGGGTCCCCATGGATGGCAAGTGACTCTCTCTTGGTAGTGACTTGTACGCCTTTGATAAGTTCTCTTCATAAGCAACTGACTCCTCGAAAGTGTAATCATATTTCTTCAAACCCCAACACACTCAAGAACTCCTACCAAAAGTACATTACTTGATAACTTCATTTCTAAGCCCAACACTTATAACATCACCCACTACCAATAACACAACCACACCATGCGGCTCATCATCCGTGACGACGAGACTGAGGCATGCAAGTATGTCGCCAATTACGTCGTGGAGCGCATCAATGCCTTCCAACCCACACCCGAGCATCCCTTTATCCTCGGCCTCCCTACAGGCTCTAGCCCGATCGGAGTGTATGATATGCTAGTACGCAAGTACAAGGCTGGCGAAGTATGTCGCATCACCTCATCCTAGGGCAGCATCTAACCATAGCAGGTCTCGTTCGAGAATGTAGTCACCTTCAACATGGACGAGTACGTCGGTCTTCCTCGAGACGACCCAAACTCCTACCACTCCTTTATGTGGAAGCACTTCTTCTCTCATGTCAACATTCATCCTTCCAATGTCCACATACTTAATGGCAATGCTGCCAGCCCGGAAGCCGAATGTGATGCATACGAGGAAGCTATCAAGGCAGCTGGTGGTATTGATCTCTTCTTGGCCGGTATTGGTGAAGACGGGCACATCGCTTTCAACGAACCCGGATCTAGCCTTGCCAGTCGTACCCGAGTCAAGACATTAGCATACGACACCATTCTTTCCAACTCGCGCTTCTTTGACAACGATGTAAGCCGGGTGCCAAGAATGGCTTTGACTGTGGGCGTCCAAACTGTCCTTGAAGCAAGAGAGGTTGTTGTCATTATCCTGGGAGCCCGCAAGGCGCTTGCATTGCAGAAATGCGTCGAACAAGGCGTCAACCACATGTGGTCGCTGTCATGCCTTCAGCTCCACCCTCATCCCATGATTGTCGTCGATGAGGACGCCACATTGGAACTTCAGGTCAAGACAGTGAAGGTAAGCAACTCTTCCTCCCATAATGAGACTCCGCTAACGAAGGACAGTACTTCAAGAGCATCGAGAAAGTTGCTCGCGAGCAGGGATTCGAGCAGATTCTTCCCTCCAAAGTACGAACTGGCAATGTTGCTATCCCTGAAACCAAGATTCAGAGAGCTCAGAGTCCTGCGATTATCGCTCCGGAGCCGATTGCTTCACACCTCTTGCGAGCGACACCTGCGGGTGACTACTCTATGAGAACCCCTTCGCCCGATTTGTTCCCCGACCGAATGGCATCGCGTATTCCGGAACCGAACCTGAACCGCAGACTTACGCCCAACCTCGAAGTTCAGACCGACGTCCCAAAGACGAAAGTTGAGATGATCGATAGCGCCGTCGCCATGTCTCCAGACGCTCCTGTCGCGAACTTGCTTCAACCGATGACCGCAAACATTAAGACAATGCGATCACCGTCGCCAGACCTAGTTCCCGACCGTATGGCCTCGCGCATTCCTGAGCCAGATCTAAACCGCAGGTTGACTCCCAACCCCGAACTTCAGAAGAAAATGAACACCGTCGGGGCGCACTAAACGTGATAGGTGGATATATTGGGATAGGAGGAGTAGAATAGAAATGGAGATCAGGAAGGTCTTGTTCAGTCGCTACAGGGTTGGCTCAGGAACAAAATTATCAGACTGTATCAGTATGACTACAACAATAGCATCTTTAGCCCCGTATTCGATTAAGGCGTTTAAATCAGGTTAGAGATAGAACAAAAATACCACTGGTGGCTTTTAGATAGGTTGTGTGTTAGAGTTTATGGGTGTTGCGTGTATCGTCTTTTGGCGTGGAGGCGTTTGGGGGAAAAGGGTCATTTCTTGAAAATCGATTGTCATCTAGGACGACTGGAAGATACACAGGTGTTCAATACAACCCATTGCCCCTTGTAACTTGAAAACTCAGTCTGTGTATAGATTCATTCTCAAGCAACATGAGCATGATTCAACAACATATGCTGTGTTTTGTGATACCGACTTTGCAATGACCAATTGTCGCATTAAAATTCTCGGGTATCGATGCAAACCATCTCATGCCCTCAATGATGAGTTAACCGTCCACCTAATGTGTATATACTTGCTCACAATGTGCTATAATCCCAAACAGACTCCCCTTTACCAGAATGCCCGTACAAAAGCTTAGATATATAATATACAGGAAATCGGCTTTCCAACAATTCGTAACTCATCAGTTTCAACCACCTGTTGTGTCTCAGTCAGAGGCAAAGTACCGCTTAGCCTTGCTCTTGAGCTGTTGTGCTTTCATCTCTGGTGGCATGATAGTGTGATGGACCACGTGAGGCCGATAAACAGCATCGACAGGCGGCATCCTGGTCGAGGTTAGTAACGTGAAAGTGGAGAGATCCAACAAAGTGGTAACGTACCAATCATCCACAGTCAGTGGAAAGTATTCGTACAAGGGATCGGCCCCCTCATCTGCAGGACTGTTTTCCCTGTTCGCCCCTGCGGTGGTGTAGCCTTTGCCAGAATTGGGACTGTGCAGCTCAGCACTGGAGCGGTTCGGACTTCTCTCGTCCTCTGATAGCGATAGATTGATCGGCAGAGAAGCATTCTGACGTGGGATTGAATTTTTGTTATTGTGGGAATTTGTCGCCTTAGCAGAGTTGTTTGGATCGCTGGACCAAGCTGGTATCGGGGGTCTAGTCATTGTTGGCGATAAGGCGACTCGTTTTGCCGGATGTGGACTTGCAACGGGTTGAGGACTGGGTAGTGGATGGGTCATTGACCCAGGTGTTGCCCAGTCGTTCGGCTGCTTATCTGTCAGTTCTGTCCTTTATGTGCATGGACTGATTTGTGTCTTACCTGGAGATTTCCAGCAGGAGGGAATCTTTGGGTGAAGTTCGTCGAATTCTCCCGTTCAAGTTTAAGCGTTGGGTGATCCACATTTGACGTCGATGTGCTTCTCCTCTCAAATCTCTTGTCGCCTGTAAGAGGAACATCCTTCCTGCTATCGAAGTTTCTAGGACTCCGGCCACGAACAATGACTGGGCCAGATTTGATCTCCGATATTTTTATGAGTTCACCTGCCTGTGTCTTTCCCAGCAGGGTGATCTGGACCACGTAGTGCTGTTGCAAGCCCTTTCTTCTGCCGTTGTTGGCAGTAGCATGCTTGAACTGAAGCCGTTTCCAAGATATAGGCAGAGAAACACGATGTGCGTCGATCTCCTGGCCTGTCGTTATATCCAGTGTGATAGTAGGCGGTGCTGAAACGCCTTTTGAGTCATCACCTCCCTGGGGATTGGCGTTTTTCCAGGGGATCGATATTATTTCTGTAGCCTTTCCTTCGATGGATTCGATGGCTGCAATAGTCGCTACTAACTCGAATATTTGAATGTGCTGCCCTTGTTCATTCACAATATTCCTGATTCCGCGAGGGAGAGTGATCTGCCCCGAACACTGCCAGAGGTTGCGGCGATAACACGTCAATTCCATCGGGCGTCCGGTTGATTCTCCCCCAAAGACATCCTCGGCAACGAAGAACATGCCATACAATTCAGCCGTCATGCCGGCTTCAACAAATTGGTTGTTCTCGTTGACAATGGTAGCATTGGAAATGGGAACAGAGAACCCAAGAAGTTTATTATCGGGCTCCTGGGGAGATGATTCCTCGTGCAAGGCATCTTGATTCGGCGGAGGATCGAATTGTTGTCGAGTCGAGTATGAGAAGGGATCTTCAAAGGTCGAGGAAAAGGCATCCAAGTCGTACGAGGTGCCGAAAGGTAGAGTCTGCAGTGCAGCTCCATCACTGTAGATGTTAGCTTGACTAGCTCCCTAGCCAAAGTTGCGCGCGCGTTGCAAGTGCGCTGCAGTGCTTACAGAAGTGATTCATCAAATGTCATATCCTGGTCGAACACGTCCATATTTATACTCTGAGAGTGAGCAGGACCGAAGTTCATCGCCATCGCTTCGCTGGAAGAGGCGCCAGTTGGCAGCCCCGATATTGAGTTGTAGGTTGACATGGCATTGTTCAGTTGAGAAGAGCCGTCAAAGTCCCATTGGCGCGGCGGGGGATACAGCGACACAACGTGATCGCGCAACTATGTGCAACGATGCAAAGGGATGAGAAATAGCTGGCGACACCGGCGATGACGGGTTGTTTTCCCGGTAGAGCGCCGAGTGTTTGGAGCGATGAGTAAACAGAGCCGAAAGAGTAGATAAGACAGGTTAAAGGTCGAGCAGAGCGAGGTAGAGATAGTCAGGTAGTATGAGGAGAGGCGGAGGCGGAGGCGGAGAGAGTGTGGAGGGCTTGGGCTGCCGACCTCCAGCTAACTCTACGGGCTCCGGCTACTGTAGGTAGGTTTGTGGAGAGACCCACTGGGCTGGCCAACCCTTTACTGTTCCCAGCGATAGGCTCTGATAGTTGATTGGCATTCGCTTCAACAATTGGCCGAGACAGAGCTTCATGTGAAGACTCGAGGCCCCGCGGGCATTGTCATCTGCTAAAAGGGAGCGCTATAAGAGGAAGCTTTAAGAGTTGTTCTTAGCGTTGTTTGCCATTTCGGCATCTTCCAGGAGGTTTTTATTAACCCATCAACGTCAATTAAAATGAAGCACAACGTTTGCAGCGTTTGCAGTAATCTTTTATTTATCAATGCTTGCTTCATGCCCAATGCTTCCAGCTAATGCTCCCTGGGTCTTTGCCTTTCTAATAATAATGTTCTTTTAAATCTAGTTTCTGTTTCATGCAGCATACCTATTCTTATCATGAGGACGGGAACCAACAGCAACGCCAAGCCAACCAAACTCTCACATCAACTTGCTCTCCTTGGCAGAGTCAGACACCCTCTCACCAAACTTCCACACTTCGTCCAGCACGAGAACTTCATTCGTTCCCCTGACCTCGCCCTGTCTTTCGTATCCGTCTGACAAAATCACCAGATCTGCGTCAGCCCCCGATTCTAGTGAACCCTTGACTCCCTGTAAGCCAAGCATGGCTGCGGGTGTTGATGTGACCGCTCCAAGGGCCTGGGGAATACTAGCCCCAGTCCACTGTCTGAAATTATTGACACACTCGAGGAGAGTGATTGAGCTGATGAGAGTTAGATACAAGGCTCCGTAGGGTAGATCAGTACGTACCTCCCAGCAATCGTGTCAGAGTTCTCGAGGAGCAATTTAGAACCTTGCTTGACAATGTTGCATGTGTATTCTCCGTTTGTCCACGGATAGGCCCCATCCGGGAGACCAACAAGATGCATAGCATCCGTGACCAGGATAAAGCCATCAGGATGAGCGCTGTAGGCGATTTTGATAGTCGTAGGATGCAAATGAATGCCATCTGAGATGATGCCAAAGTAAGGTCGTGGCAGACTCTCAGCCTTGCCCAAAACTCCAAAGACACCTGGGTTTCTGTGATGCAATGGGCGCATGGCATTGAAGAGGTGTGTAATCATTGTAGCACCCTTACTGACAGCTTGCGATGTCTCTTCGTATGTTGCCTCGGTGTGGCCAACGGAATATATGATTCCTCTTGATGTGATCTCTGGGATTAGGTTCATCATCTGTCCGCGTTCCGGCGCTGCTGTAATCATCTTGATCGGCATTGGCGCGCCATCGGAGCGAGGTGTTATATTCTCACGACCATAACATTGCTCAATATCCTCTATCGATTCAGCTTGTGTGAGGACATCGACATTGTGAACTCCATTCTTGGTGGGACTCAAGAACGGACCCTCGCAATGCGCACCGAGTGACTCGGCGCCGTGAGCCGGGATCCGCAGTTCCCCAGACGGGCCAAGATACGGGAGGGCCTGGCAGGCGTTAGCTTCATGTACGATTGCCCCACCAAAAAGGAAGGCGTACCTTTTGGTATAATTCAGGCCGTTGACTGGTGATGGTTGGGATGTATGATGTGACCCCTGTCTTGACCAGTAGCCGATTGATCTTTTGGATGTTTTTGCCATATTCGGACATGTCATCCAGTAAGGTTGAGAAGTTGAAGCCAAAGGCACCGTTGAGCTGGCACTCGATCAGACCTGGTGCAATGATGCGTCCACCAAGATCAAGAGTATTGTCAGGCATGTTGCGGCCGCCATAGAATGAAGCCTGGCTATCGATGATCTTGCCAGTAATGGAGCTGACCCAAAGGTCCTCCCAGACCAAGTCGTTGCCCTTCAGCAACCGACAGTTGGTGAACTTAGTGAGGCCATTCTTGGGTAGGGTCGGCGAGACGGCGATAGGCATATTGAAGATGGGTTGGGGGAGTCTGTGATGAAGAATTAGATATCTCAAAGTGGGTTGTGTTAATGCTCTCTATCTTGAGTTGAAAGTCCCTAAGGACAATGAATCATATAAAATGAAAGGCGAGTCGTGGTATACTAGTATTTTCCAGAGTCCATCCTCGGAAGTCTAAAGCCCTATCAAGCCGCCAACAACGGCCACGTTTTTTTTCAGATAGCATGGAAAAAGCCATTTCGTCATTACGATTCAGTAACCGTGCCATCTGGTCCCAAGCAGACGGTGCCATCGTTGAAGCCGTGATAATGAGACTGTGTGGGGATTTTTTGGTCTGAACATGGTATGGTTCCCTTTTGCTATGTTGCTGTGCATATTGACAGCCAGAGACCAGGGTGCAGTGGAATACAAAGACCATGCCATCCGTCCATTTTTGCCTCAGAAGTAATGTTCATCCTTACCTGGTTCAATCTCTCGCGTCGCAACACAACGTGAAACGGACCTCTTTGTTGCCGACCATTTGTTGCTGTTGTTCCATGTAACGTTAACTCATGGGGCGTAACCCATCAAACCGCCTGCCATAAGAAACAGCCAACGAAACAGGACGACCCCACTTCCCTATCGCCCAACAGCTGGCTCTTTCCACAACTGGCCAATCAATATACACCAATCACATCAGCCGAGGTTTAGGCGGTCGGCAACACTCCACCTCCACTCCAATGGCCCCTCCTCCTGCTGGGTCAACGTCTAGCTCATCCTCTCGAGAAGGCTACCGCAGTGTCAATGCATCTCATCGTTACCTCAAGCACGCGGGGCCATCAAGGGGTGAGCCAGAACCACAGCAGAAGAGATCAAAGTACCATGTGACGAGGCATCGACGCCGCCCAACCATCATGGCCCATACAGACAATAGTGACCTGGATCCAGCATGGCAAGATCTCGACCGGTACGTACCCACTCACCTCACCTCACTTCCTGTCAGTCCCGTCGAGTCGCGTCTCCCGGACGGCGCGGGATGTCAAGGGCCGTCTCTCCACTCTTCGGCTCCGAATCTCGGAGAATTTCATTCATTCACTCACTCGACATCATGATGCTAACTGGCTGTTCGGTAGTGCCATTGGGCAGATCCTGATTATGGGCTGGGATGGCACTGAAGTTACCCCCCAGATCAGGAGCCTCATTGAGGATCATCACCTGGGTTCCATTATACTTACAGCCAAGAACCTTAAATGTGAGCTCTACTTCCAGACACGTGTCTTGCTTCATTACTCTAACATTGCCAAGCTGCTCAGCAAACAGCAGAGCTGGTCCAGGAATTACAGACCATTGCTAAAAATGCTGGTCATTTACAGCCTCTTCTCATCGCCCTCGATCAGGAGAATGGAGGAGTAAACAGTCTTTTTGACGAAGACTACGTATGCCAATTTCCCAGTGCCATGGGCGTTGCAGCTACTGGTCGAGCCGACCTAGCATATGAAGTGACAAAGGCTACTGCTACTGAGATCTCGGCATGCGGTGTCAACCTCATGCTAGGACCCGTCCTTGATGTATTGAATAATGCTCGCTACCAGCCTTTGGGAGTGCGTGCTACCGGAGACGACCCCCAAGAAGTATCACAATATGGCCTGGCGGCTCTACGAGGAATTCGAGATGCTGGAATTGCTTCATGTGGAAAGCATTTCCCATCGTACGGAAATCTGAACTTTCTGGGCTCAAACCTAGATGTGCCCATTATCACTCAAACACTAGAGGAACTCAGCATCAGCGCTCTGGTTCCATTCCGAAATGCCGTTGCCTCGGGAAAATTAGATGCTATGTTCATTGGAGGCTGCGGCATATCCAATCCGTCCATGAATGTGAGTCATGCTTGTCTTTCAGATCAAGTTGTGGATGAGCTCCTACGCGATGAGCTTGGATTCAACGGGGTCGCAATCTCAGAGTGCTTGGAGATGGAGGCTCTCAGTCATGAACTTGGTGTCCAGAATGGTGTTATCATGGCCGTCGAAGCAGGCTGTGACCTTGTCCTCCTCTGCCGTGCCTATGACGTCCAACTTGAAGCTATCAAAGGCCTGAAGCTCGGTTATGAAAATGGCATTGTGACGAAGGAGCGAATTTTTACCTCTCTGAGAAGGGTACTTAACCTAAAATCGACCTGTACCTCTTGGGAGAAGGCGTTGAACCCTCCAGGCATTTCTTTGCTTTCTCAACTTCATCCATCTCATCTTGCTCTATCACTCCAAGCCTACGATGATTCCATCACAATCATTCGAGATAAGGAGAAACTTATCCCACTCACAGCCTCAATGCATCCTGGAGAGGAGCTCCTCTTGTTGACCCCCTTAGTCAAGCCGCTGCCTGCATCGTCACTCACCAAAAAGTTACTGGCAGCCAAAGACAGCCAGAATCAGGCAGAAGGACAACATGAGATGTGGGCGCATAATGGTCGTGACCGAAGCGCGATATTGAGTGGAGAGGGTGTCTTCCGGGAATTTGGCAAATCTCTCGCTCGAGCTCGTAATGAAAAGTTACTTCACACAAGCTATACGGCTAATGGAGTTCGTCCAGGTAACACTCTTATTCTTCAGTAGATGAAATTCATTCTGACCAGATTTAGTTCACGAAAACCTGATCCACAGAGCATCTTGTATCATTATTGTCACGGCTGATGCCAATCGAAACCTTTATCAAGCTGGTTTCACTAAGCACGTTGATATGATGTGCTCTATGCTTCGAACCAGGGGTCAAAAAAAGCAACTGATTGTAGTGGCAGTCAGCTCTCCGTATGATTTTGCAATGGATAAATCCATTGGCACATACCTCTGCACCTTCGACTTCACCGAGAACGCTCTCCATGCTCTTGCAAGGACACTAGTTGGAGAAATTGCACCCCTTGGGACGCTCCCCGGTACACTGCGCAAGAGCAAGAAGGTTCTCAAGTCCAGACAGCACTGGCTGGTAGAAGAATACAGTGCAAAACGTGACGCATCTGCTTTGAACGACCTACTTCGAGCTGTTCACCGAGCAAGCGCACCAGACCTGCAGTTTCTACGCACAACAACTGCTGCTTCCTTTCAGCTCAATAATGCCAATATTGCCGAATCACATTTTGTGGTTAGGAATAGCAGCACCAACGCGTTGTACGGCTTTGCTGCTACTTACTTTGTTCACGGTGTTGGTATCCTTGGGGGTGTCTTTGTCGAGCCCACCAAACGGGATGTATCGATCGGAAGGTCGCTTCATCGACGGGCGCTTAGAAGTCTCGTGCAGCGACGAGGAATTAAGCAAGTCCAGATAGGGTCAGCGTTTCCCGGAGTTTTCCTGGGCATTCCCAATGATGTCGAGGTCAACACAATCAAAGAGTGGTTTGCGAACAGTGGCTGGGATGTCCAGTTTCCACGACGCGTATCAAACATGATTTTACGGGATGTGACAAGCTGGTCTGCCCCAGAAGGGTTGTCCCAGAGCATACAGAGAGCCGGTATCAGCTTTGACCTGATTCATGATTTGGACAACGCGGATGGTGTTCTCAGCCATGTCCGTAACAACGCAAACCCCGAGGTATTAGAACTGTACCGTCATGCGCTGTCAGAATCGAAGTTGAGTGGGATTGTCCGGGCCAAGGACGCGACAGGTACCTTGTTGGGCACAATCATTGTTTCCAAGCAGCGCAGTCCATTGGAAACTCATATTCCCTCATTGGTATCACGCTCTGAGGACATCGGCGGCATCATTGCTCCAGTTGTACCTCCTGGACCACAAACAACTCTCGTCTTGCAAGGTTTGACGCTCATGGGCATTCGTCAGGCCAGGAGTCACAAAGCTACAAAAGTGGTCCTTGGTTGGGTAAGTCAGCCATCCTCCCCAATGTTCAATGTCGCTAACAAATCAGGTTGTGGATGATGGTACTGAGTCCCTCACAGCGATGGGCTTTGAGACACTCCAAGAGTTCGAGGAAATCACAAACTCCCCAGAGAATGTAATTATCCCTCACTTCTAAAGCCACAACAGCTACTGACAAACAACAGTTTTCCAACATAGTATAAATAAGGGAACACAATGGATGTGTTATCACGAATCTACCGGGAAATTTATGATTAGCGAATGAAGTGCATGCTGCCTTGAATAATATGCGTTAGAAGCTTTGCTACATCCTAGGTCATGCCTCATTATTCTACACTTCGATGATATTCTCCCACGCTGTCTCCCAGTTCTTGCATCGAGTCTTTGAAGGAAGACTTCTTGGTGTTGGCAGTGAAGTCGCCAGTATCAACGTAACACTCCATCCCAGTCAGAAAGCTAAGTCCCTCTTTCGGCAAGGGGTTTTGGACTTGGTCATAATCTACTATAAAACGGTCTCAAATTTCCCTGTACTCGAATGTCACGCACGGCCTGATGCCCTAGCGATGAACATTAGGCAGAAGATATTGCGAGGCTCCCCGGGAAAGCTATTCTTGTTCTTGAGTGTCAGTAGAACCATGTGAATTTGGTAAATCAAATGATTGGATCTCTTACTAAAGATAGGTTGGTAACTTCTGGCATGGTTTGTCAAATCATCCAAACACTTGAAGTGGTATCAAGCTTGTCCAGTGCTTGTCGGGCATCGATCGCCAAGTCAATATTCATGCTCTTGGTTGGTATTGTCCAGCCATTCGAATTCAACCAATATCAGGGCATTAGGAGACTTGGCAAATTGCTCGGTGTCGTCGTGCTGAATAGGGTCTCCGGGTGTTCATCCTAGGATGCCCACTGTTGTAGTTTACCGTCAGAATACTCACAGTTGGACCGGCGATAAGCATTCTTCGTCCTCCTGGCCGGTAACATCGCTGGAGTCTTCATATCGTGCACTTACCCTTGAATGTGAGGCTCAGCTCAGTGTCCTCAGGTCGCTCGAGATCATATGTGTCTTCAGAACTCTCGTTTGTAGGACTGCTCTCAATCCGAGTCAAGGTCCCTTTGATTTCTAGAATTTGCAAGTTCCATCTTAGTCAAAGTCTCCTCCCCTCCCTATGAAGAAGCATGATGAGCCTACGTCAGCTTTGGTTTAAGGCCCTTCAAGACTCATACTATTGTATCTTCTGCGGATACCCAATCTTGAGATCGCTTTGAACTCCTCGGTTAAACAATTCTGACGGCTCACCACGCCACCCAGCAGCAAATATCACGACACACGATAGCAGGGAATTAAGCCATAATAATGTACTTTGAATGAGAATAAGGAAAAATATCTTTGTTTGTCGAAACACTTCAACACACTTCCGCATATGCTGAGTCCATCAGAAAGTCCGTTAAAAATAATATGTCCTTCGCCATGTATTGTTTGATTGTCCTTTTACCCGTTGCCAAGTTAAAACTCCGTGAATAATAAGCACCGGGATTTCCCACCAATCTAATAACCGTTTTCGTACAGATAGTCATCTCGGAAGAGCAACAAGCAGAATAGATCGTGAAGAGGTGATCGAAGTGGAGTGGCGGAAAAGTGTATCGGTGTGTATGTCGCTTATAAAAGTGAAAAGTAAAAGGGAAAAGTTGCTCCTGGTCGTCTAACATCCGTCATCTTCACATTCATCAAGGCTTCCGTAGCCGGTATCCGAATCAATTCCCACCACGCTCTTGTTGATGGCCAGGCACCGGCTAACGACCTTCTCTCGTACATCAGAAGCAACGCCACACTTCTCCCCGGGAGATCCGCCCATCCATAGACGAAGACCACCAGATAGTCGCTCAAGAGAGGCCTGGAAGGTCTCAGCTGCTGCTTTGTGCTCGTAGAGCTCCTCCATCAACTCGAGGGTTGCGGTGCATCCAAGAAGAGACATCTGCAGGGCGTTGCCACGGGTCATGATTGACTCAATCATACGGAGTCCTTGGTGGGTGCTTCCGGGAGTGCATTCGACGCGTCGGAGGTGAGCGATGGCCATGGCGCATCGTAGGGCAAGTCGGAGATCGGGAGTAGAAGCCTGGAAGCTTGAGTCAACGACACAAATGGAAGAGCTCAGGAGAGCATCGACCTTTTCGTTGCCCATTGATTGTAAGGCAGAGGCGATGTTAGCGCCGCGTGCCTTATCAACGAGAACTGCTCGTGCCACGATAGCCCGAGCCTGTGCGGTTGACCCCAAGGGTGCAGCCTTGATGGTGAGTTCGATATCTTCTACCTTAGTGCTGAGCATTTCTTCGTCCTTTTCCAATGTGGCGACCAAAGTTCGGTGTAGGAATTGGGTCGACCACCAGGCAGCAACAGCATCAAGGGGAGACCCAATAGCGGTGTCATCAACAACAGAATCCATGCTATCCATAGGGGTCACAACGTTGTAATCAGTATCGGTATTGAAAGCCAGGTTGTGCGCTCGCTGAATAACATCGTCGTTGAGCACTTCATCGCAGTCTTGTTCAACTAACAGAGCGAGATGTTCGGGCAAATCGTCATGCTGCTCGGAGGACTGGCGGTGAAGTTGAGTAAGGAGACGATTCAGCTGACGGGCCTCGTTCCACTTGCTACGAGCAAGTTTGGCAGCGACGATGTTGATTGCCCCAAGTTGAAGTCGGTTCTGGCTCAGGTCCCAGAGAAGAACGCGAATATGGAGGGCCTTGAGCATGAGCCTAGCAGGAGTGTCGGGGAGAGTGCCGGAAGCGAGGAGTGTGAGAATAAGACGGCTCTTGTTGATCTCAACGTCGCCGCCAGCCAACTGCGAGTCGAGGGCAATGCTCCAGGCCTGGACACGAGCGGTTTCCTGCTCCTGAGTCAACCCGGTGATTGCTTGATAACCATGAACTCCAATTGCATTTCGGAGGCTGAGCTTGAGAGTCTTCAAGATGAGAGCTGCCGCCTCGAGGAAGAAATTGTGACGAGGGACCCATACGGTCTGGATAGCGGTAAGCCAAGCTTGTCGGCGGACATGAATTGGTGAAGCGAGCGATGGCGCTGCCTGAAGGACCCCGACTTGTGGTTTCTTCGACTTTTGTGGAGCTTGTGTGAATAGTGAAGGAACAAACACCCAAAGGAATGTTCCAAGTAGGAGAATAATTCGAAGTGAAGTATGTAGATGATAGCCTCCGACGGTCAAGTCAAGGCCGCTCGCTGCACTCTTCAGAAGCTGAATAGGCATAGCGAACAAACCACGACCTTCAGGCTTCTCATTGCTGACTTCATCCTCACGCATCGCCTCCAGAATCATGAGACCGGCAAGTGAGCCGACCATCAATTTACCAAAGTAAGGGCCGGCATTGTTCCACCGACCTTGCTGCATTTGCTGTTGCTGTTGAAGCTGCTGCTGTCGAATGAGCGCGGGATTTCCACCGCGAAACTGTTGTTGGGGTACAGGATATGGTTGGCCAGAAGCCATTTGTTGCGTAATGATTCTCTTCATATCATCGGGAACTTGAATCATTCCTCCTGGTTGCGCGTTGCCGTCCTGTGACGGGCCTCCGACAAACTGCTGCGCATCCTGTGCATATTGGATTGGCGTAGGTGGTTGCTGAAGAGGGCTGATGGCGCCATTCATCGCCCCGGCCATGAAAAGCTTTTCGAAGGCGGCAATTCGGGCTTGCATAGCACCATTTTCGTCGAGTAGCCGATTGTTACGCTTCTCGAGATGTCGGATATATTCAGTCGCCTTGCTCAAAACCTATCCAGTGATTAGCGTGAGTTATATCGCTAGAAAGAGCACAGCGCACTGTAGCCTTGTTCAGCTTATGAGCTGGGGTCAGACCATGGAGTTCCTCGCGATCTTCAGTCGTGTCTTCACCTCGCGCGCTCTTCGACATGATGCGAAGACTGGGAACGCTATCTCTCAAAGCGGCGATCTTGTCATTCAGATTGGTTCGATATCGCTTCTCAATCATGTTATGGGCGGTCTTCTTCACTGGTTGATCGCCATCCTCTTCCTCTTCCTCTTCGTCCTCAGGGTCGGCGGAAGACTTGCGCTTTCGCGATGCTTTCGAAGATCCATCGGCGGGATCCGGTGACGAAAAAACACCCCTTCTGAGTTCGCCATTTGCTGAGTCCGGGCTAGAGGCGCTCTTCGGTGAGTGGTATTGGAGATGTGGCGGCATGGCGATGTTGCGCAGCTTCTCCTGCAGAGCAGGAGTCAGATGGCTGATAAGGGCTGGCTGAAGTACGGTGTTGTCGTTGAAACTAGCCTGTCGCAGGGAAGGATTTGAAGCGGCGTAGATTGATTCGGGGCTGAGAGTGGTTGCCGGAAGGCCGTCGATGCCGGTAGAGATGGGAAGCTGTTGAAGGTTCTGCTGATCCTGACCGAAAGCGAGATTCCAAGGAGAAGGTTGATAGCTGGTTTGAGCAGGAGGTGCGGTGCTGCTAGAGGGGTCGTACGAGTCGTAAGGGGGCGTGCCGGTGAACTGCCATGCAGCGTCGTAGTATTGTTGCTGGGTCTGGGGACGGGAGGAATCGTTGGGCAGGGAGGTTGAGGAGGGGTCGGATTTCACGACCGAGCCATCATCGACGAAACCACCTAGATTCGGATCTTGAAGGCCATAGAGGCTGTTGGTAGAATCATGGTCGGCCATGTCGGAGAAGCGGGAGCCGGGCATGATGGGGATAGGCCAGCACCATGCAATGCAGTTGCGATGGCCTGATTGAGAGACCCAGTGCTTGGGGTGACCCCGAAGGAGTCGCCGTGGTCGAGCGAGGCCTTTCGGGAAGACGAGGGCCTTTGGCCGACGATACTAAGAGCAAGGGTCGATGTTGTCTGTCCAGTTGGGTTGAATTGGCCTCTATTCCCGGCGTGGCCTGTTCAATTGAGTCTCTCGGCCGAGGAGTGGACTTGACCGCGATGGCCTCACCTACTGGCTATGGCTCCAGCTACAGTGGCAGCTACAGCTACAGGCTGTGCTGAGGGTCAGCCTGCAATAGTCGACAGGCCTGTAGCCTCTGCTAAGGCGATCAATCGGTGGATAAGATAGAGAGGTTCGGTGGTGAGGGCGTGCTGCAACCACAGAATGAATCGATGGTTGTCTCAATGACTCTCTGATCGAATGATTGAACGGGTGTTGCCGAACGGTTGACGGGTGAGAAAGGGCAGTACAGGGGTTCTACAACAAGGGAAGAGAAGCGCAGTCTCGCGATTATGGTTCGACTGGCAACGAGTAGCAGGTAAAATTGCTGATGGAAGAATAAGCGATTTGAGCGATGATTCGGAGACGAGCGATGGATGCAAGGAATTCAGTTTGAGAGGAGGGTAGAAAATCGTACGATGGAACCCGGATATCAGCCCAGTGACGCCTAGTCAAGTCCGCGCTTGGCCAAGCTCGTTTTTTGTAGAAGGACTGGAGTGATGAGTTCAGGGGATCCACTAGCATTTGAGTGTTTTTCTCTAAATACAGTGCAGAACGTCGATGACTTTTGGTGGCGTACTCACTAAGCCCAGCAACTGGCACGGGATGAGTCTCCAGGCGAGGGGGGCGTTACGGCTTGGACCGTACAGTATTGGCGATCTGAGAAATACGGTCCACTTTAGTTAGAGGTTTACCCCTCTCGCATTCGGATCTAAGGCGCATTCCGCACTGTGCACACAATCACAAATCTAGTAACCCGTCAAGCACAAGCCAACTTTGATTGATCAAATTGGAATGGGAGACCCTCGAGTACGCCCAGGAGTTCAATTCTGTTGAAAAGCTCGGCTCAAGGAGCAGAGAATATCCTCATGATCGAGTCGTAATAGATGAGATCTCAGTCACTTTTGTCAAAATCTCCCCCCTAAAATACACTGTTGAAAGACAAAACATAAACCGTGGTGCTACTTGAGTTGTCTCGGGTTAGCCACGCGAGTCTCAGTCTCGCGTCCCGTGGTTCACAGGAACTCAATTATTACATTCCAGCCGGCAAAGGCCAGACCCAAGCGACGGTTACTCGGGAGCATTTGAGTATCACGTATCCAATTAAATGACTTTATAACGGTCGCCAAGACGAGTGCATTGTGAAGAATCCGAAACAACCTGGATATCAATCCCTCGAATCTGTCATGTCCCGTCTGGTGCAACCCTCTCAGGTACTGTGCGACGGATAGCTACATACAGATACCGAACTATTGACGCCCTGCCAATCCGCGTTGAACGGAAGATCAGTTCGGGTTACACAACGCAGGCTATTCTTGCATGTCTTGGACTCAGCTTTCAGCTCCTGAGCCACTATCCTCGCTTCCCAGATGGTCCCCGCCGCCACCAAATGATCCTGATCTCAATATTAAATCCTCCTCCTAACTATCCCCAATCCATCCCGATGATCAAACGATCAACCTTGCGTTACCCTCTAGTTTTAACGCTTGTTGCTTTTTAAGTATCATCACATGCATCTTGTTAATTGTTCCGATTGGCGATTCAAGATCTTGAGATCGTAGAGTTGATACTAGATATTAGCGCCTGCGTAACATTAGATGGAAAACACCGCGTCTGTTGTGTGACGCTACAGGTTCGAAAACAACGTAAACTCATAAAGTAAGTCGATTTGGTAGAAACAAATGATATACAGGTGAATATTTTATGCAAATAGCAATGTTCTGGTCCTTGCGGCCGTTACTACATCCCCGCAAGCCCATGGGCCAGCTCTAACCAAATACTGTAAACCCCAACTAAGAAGACCCCTATGTCTTGATATCAACGACATCAAAGGAAACAATGCAATGTAGGCCCCTTTAAATAATCATAAACTCCAATCATTTCGTTTACCAAACGTCATCCGAACTCTGAACCATCTCCAATGTCGGTGTCTTAGGTACCATGCGTTTCATTCTCTTCCGATCCTCCCTGGTTACAAGCGAAGGTGTCACAGGCATGCATGGCGTGAAGGGCTGATAAGGCGAATAAGGCACTGCACCAGCTGTATGCGGAGTCATTGCTCCGCTTGGTGATAGTGGTCCTTTCCTCTCGAACACAGTCTGTTTGGTAGTCTGCGCAATGGTATTTGGTGAAACCATGGCAGGCTCGTAGGCACGCAATGGCAGAGAACCACCAGTTCGCACAGCTGAAGGTGCGTTGGCACGGTGGAATGTCTGGCCAGGCTTGGGTGACGCGGGAAGAGACGGGAACCTTGAACCGGGCTTGGGAGACGATGGCAGGCCGACCAGTGGTGCTTGAGAGTGTTCCGAAGTTGCTGACTCAGGATCACGCTCGCTGGGTGCATGCGATACGGTACGGGCGTGGCCAGGATAAGGAAGTTGACTTCCGATACGTTCATCGATGCTCAAAACACTCTCGGGCGAGATGTCCGGGGTCGGAAGCGACGCATGGGTCTTTGGCGGCAGGGCCGGTGAACCATACGGGACCTGATTAGTAGGGACCGGAGGAGGAGCAGCCGGAGCATAATGCCGGGGAGGAATCGCGCTCATCTCCTGTCCTTCATAGCGAGGAAATTCACCCGATTGAGGGGTCATGAGAGGCGATGAGATGCTCATGCCCTTCATCTGCTTCTTCTTTGGTGATCGTAGCGCTGAGAGAAATGAGGAGGTCCTTGACTGGCTCTTCTCCTCGCGAGAAGCAGAAAGGTTGAGTGTTGCTGGCTTGCTCCTCTCCTTCTTCGATGGCGAGGATGTCGAAGATTTCAGAGAGAGTACGGAAGCCGAGGCTGAAGGGCGTGGTTGGTGGTGAGCAGTGGGAGGAAGAGGAACATCGTAAACAACTCCTCGCTTCTTTGCATCCTCATGCTCCAGGACATGCTTGTACATGTCTTCAAGCTGAGATTGAGCCATGAGTCTGTCTACTGCCACAACACGGGGATCGACAAAAGGATTAGTTCCGGGGGCTCCAATACTTGAAGCCGGCGATGGATAGATGTATGGATTTCCTTCGTGCGAGTCCTGGAAGCTCGGTTTGACAAATTCGGTGTCCGTGATGATATTCAGAGATGTAGGTACAGCTGTTGGAGGAAAGTCGGGACTGACGATATCTTTCCGGACTTCAAAGTCGACCTCGTCAAGTCCAGCTGCAATATGTTCGCGTCGCTTCTTTGATAGGGCAAGCAGTGTTATGGCGACCAGCACCAATGATACAGCGTATGCTCCGATTATACCACCAATCTGGGCTGGCAGATAGGTTGTGTCAATTGGTCCTCCTGGTAAAGGCTTATCTGTGTCCCGGGCTTGGAGTATCGAAGATAGAACAGGCTCAGGCTGAGCTGTTGTAATGAGTGACAGAGGCAGAAGTAGACCGAGTTGTAGTGAGTAGCGAGCACCCTCGAGAAGCATCGTGGGAAACGAGGTCAAGGCGAGACACTTATTCTTTATGGAGGAGCCAGCTTGTGCGATGTGACCTCCTGAACACGATGAGACGAAACACTAGAGAAGAACATCATGCACGGAAGAGGGAACTTGCGGTCTCAACGGGGTATATAGCGGGCTGGGTCATGATCGTCTATCACTCTGCGTTAGCCGCTGAGCTATCCAGGGCTGGACGCTGAGTCGCTGAGCAGACAACGCCAGTCAACTGGCGGTCGTCGAATAGCGGCCGAATGCATGAGAATACGTCTGAGAATAGCTCGATACCCTTGGTGATGGCAACAGAGTGGTTGCAGGCGATATGTGAGGGCCCAAGTGTGACGAGGCCATCTCCGAGCTGTGGTTGGATGGCTAACCGCTGAGCGATATAGTGTGCCATTGTCTGATTGGCCAATAGCTCTCACTACCAACCACCAATACCCACATCCATAACCTATCGCTGGCTCTGGAATCCTAGATGCCGGGATGCACTGCAATGTTTTCTCGCTTTAAGCTTCTCTGTGGTTGTCTCGTTTCTGCCGTTGAAGGGTCCCAAGCGGGGCGGGGCGATCCTTGCTTTTCGCCGTCACAAGAGAGGTCTTGTCCGACTCACACGTTCCTGGATCTGCGGGGTCAAACCAACAACCATTGACCCGGCGATTGGTGACGATACTCTTCAATCACTCAACTAACGGCATAGACGATGTAGTCTAGTCAGTGGGGGGCACTTTGAGGCCCAATTGTGTGTGTTGCCTGCATCATCCAGGCTGTCGGGCCCTGAACCATGTGGAATTTCCCACTCTTCCTCTCATCATGTGATGTGCCAAAGTCTTCGAATGGGATGCTCGTCTTCGTGTGACGTTAGGTAGCTCGGCATTGCTAGTGATGTTCGTGTCGATCCCCTCGAATAGAAAGACCTGTCACGGCGCCTATTGTGTAAAGTCGCACTACTATCGCACGACTATAGCTTCATGCTACCCTGCACAAGTGACTTTGGTGATATGGTTGGTGATTGCTGACTGGAGACGTGACAATCATAATTCAGGACCATGTTGGGTTTTGTTACAGATGTAAAACAGGCGCTATGCGGTGAGCATCTGTGCAGGGGAATTGGGCGGTTCATATCAGCTATGCAATCATAGATGCGTCCCTGACTGTTAAACAGACTGCAATGTTTCACAGCACCCATGGAAATATTGTGTTTCAAAGGGTTCGACCTTTTTGAGTAACAATGCCAACGGTGTCCCACAGTATCGTTTTTGGCTTGATAAAAACTCTCAGGGTGGGACATCGCCGTAGCATTGGACTTTTGTTTGTCACTCTTTAGCGGTGATTGATGTGGCATATCGTGACAGTGATAGTGATGGGAGAAGCCTTAGCGTAAAGGGGATGTGACGAAGATGATAACGAGATCTGACAGAGCTGAAGGATGAGCATGTGACACGCAGGCATAATGCTTTGCCCATTGATAGAGTCAATATAGGAATTCGTTATGATTCTAAAGGATATTGAATTTATGGGCAAGACCCGCATCATAAGCACAATATTCTCTTTGAAAACGTGAGGAGCAAATGTGTGAGTGATGGACAAGAATCCTGAATAAACCGTCAGACAAGAACAAAGTAGGTACTTGATTGGAATCAATAATAATATCAGAACGTAAAATGTTACTTCATGATGTTTTTGGTCCTACCCACCCTACAACCTCATAGAGGCGTTGCAATGCACGTGACGTCGCGAAAATGACATCGCGTCGCGCGATGCCTGCTTCTCATCAACGCGAAAGCCCCTCGATCGAAAAGAAGACACCACCAGCGACTCCGGTGGCTAAAATACCACGCCGTAATCCCATTCGAGCAATCTCGCATGGGTATAGAATTTTCGATGATACTATTCTCCTCGACCAATCGACAGCAATTCGTGGATTCGTCCACGTACCCAGCATGCCCACTTCGACCACACAAGATGCGATTCTTCAGTCGTTGAACGAGGCGCAACGCCGAGCTGTTACTTCATCCGCATCGACTGTCGCAATTCTAGCTGGTCCCGGTAGTGGAAAGACTCATACTCTTACCTCACGAGTAGTATGGCTGATTCAAAGAGTTGGCTATCGACCTGCCGACGTGATCGTCGCAACTTTTACTGTCAAAGCCGCCAGAGAAATGAAAGAGCGTATAGGAAAAGCTCTAGGCGAGGAATGCGAAAAGAAGATTGTGCTTGGAACGTTTCACTCGATTGCCCGAAGATATTTGTCTATATACGGAAATCGCATCGGACTAGACTCGAAGTTTGGAATTGCAGACGATGGAGATTCGAGGGCGATCATCCAGAGAATCTGCAAGAGGCTGGAACTTGGTATTGAGCCGCTACATGCGAGGTCATGGATCAGTAAAGAGAAAGCGAAGGGACCAAATGCCGCCACGGCTCCAACGCAGAAAGGCAAAAAGGAGAACCCGGCGCTAAGGACATGCTACGAAGAGTATCAAGCTCAACTAAAAAGGTCAAATTTGCTGGACTATGATGATCTCCTGGTCAAATGTGTCGAACTGTTGAGAGATCACCCAGCTTGCGTTTCCAACGTCCAGACTGTCCTTATCGACGAGTACCAGGATACAAACGGCATTCAATATGAGCTGATGAAGTTATTCGCCCAAGCACGCCAGCGAATCACAATTGTAGGCGATCCTGATCAGAGTATCTACGGTTGGCGTTCAGCTGAGATTCGAAACCTTTATCGGCTGTTAAGAGATTATCCTGATACAGATGAAATCTCCCTGGAAGAAAACTATCGATCGTCACAATCCATCCTTGATGTATCTCTCAACGTTATTCAACAAGACAAAAAGCGATACCAGAAAGTGTTACTGCCAGTCCACACTAAGGGAGCGCGACCGGTTCTCAGAACACTGAAGAGTTCGTCGTCTGAAGGCGAATGGATCGTTTCTGAGATCAAGCGAGTTATCATGATGTTCGGAGATATGCTCAATTTTGAAGATGTCGCAATTCTTCTGAGATCAGCTGCGCTTTCTCGACACATCGAATCAGCTCTGGGGAAAGCCGGTGTCGCATACCGAATGATCGGAGGCCATAAATTCTATGAACGAAAGGAAATTAAAGTCTTGATAGATTACCTCCGTGTAGTGAGCCAGCCTGACAACAACGATGCGCTGGCCAGGATCATCAATGTGCCAAGAAGAGGTATAGGAGAAGCAACAATCAAATCTCTTCTTGAAGAGGCGGAGCAGACCAACATGAGCCTCTGGACTTTGATTCTCAAGCACTGTAAAGGCAATCGTAAAGCAAACACCAATATCAGACCAAAGATGGAGCAAAAGCTCAATACAGAACTCATCCGGACCATCTCGAGCTTACGAAAAGAAGCCGATCAAATTAGTCAGAGCAGCCCTGTCACTCTGGTCAACTTGATAGAGCAACTGATTGGCCATCTTGATTTCAAGAAGTATCTGGAGGAAGAATACACAGAAGAACATGAACAGCGATGGGCCAACGTTCAAGAGTTTGTTAATCTGGTTAGCGATTTTATGAGAGATTTTGGCGGACCAGAAGAAGAAGCACTTCCTGAAATCGAGAATATGGATCAAGTGAGAGAGGATGATATGCTAGGCCGGTTCCTGGCCAACGTATCATTGGCATCGGACGCACAGAACAAAGGCGACACAAAAGACCAGAACTCGCTGATCACTATATCGACCATTCACGCAGCGAAAGGGCTGGAGTGGCCTGTTGTTTTCGTGCCCTCCGTCTATACTGGGTCAATACCTCATTCAAGATCAGAAGACACAGATGAGGAACGACGTCTCCTCTATGTGGCAATGACACGAGCCCAAGCGCTATTGTACCTAAGCTGCCCACTCTACGGTTCTCAAGGGATGAGCAGCAAGGTTGAACTCTCACCGTTTGTCTCTCCTTTTGCATCCAAGGTCTTCGCCAAGAAGGGGCCATCATTCGATCGAGCAGTTGTAGAGGGCGTTGCTAAAATCTTGGGACGAGAGGCCCCAGGTGAGAAGGCAATATTCGGAAGACTCCCCCCTATGTTCTCAGTTGAAGATGACGGGTTTCCTGTTGATCCTGTCGATCCGAAGAATGTCGATAGATACGACGAGGAGACTGGCCGACATTACTCCCGGGCACCCAAGCGCCAGCGTACGGCGCACCCGGTCACCTCCTACGATGAAACAGATGAGCTTCCCTGGCAGAGAGAATATGCCACAACAATGGAACAATCATCTGATTTCACTGTTTCTGCTTTACCCGGGTTCACAACCGCTGGAGCTCATAGAGTTGCCCTAGATGCCGTAGCCGCAGCAGCAGCCGCAGCACAACCAGCAAGCTCAAAACCAGGGCCAAAGAAGGGATCGACGAAAAGAGGCGTTGGGCAGAAGAGTATGCTTGGTTGGCTTAACCATGGAAGAGATGCTCCTCGACCTCCACCCGAACCTCAGCCTCTACCGCAGCAGCAGCAGACCAGGTCCTTTGCACAGGTGCGATACCAGTCTGCTTTGTCACGGCAGAATGATATGCCAGTGAGACTACCAAGAGGGCCCGAGCCACAAAAGCCATTGATCGATCCAGAGCTGGCAAAACATAAACTTCCTTCTGCACGACCTCTATCAAAACCAAATGTTCCAAAGGTAGACGCCGGTTCTCGAAGGCCTTACTCCTGTTTCTCCAGTTCACCACCGCGACCGCCGTCAAGAAAAGAGCCTGAAGAAGAGAACAAAAAGGACGAGGAAGAAGCATTGCCTAACAAGCCTGCTTCAAGTCTTCATGCGACAACATTCATGTCTGTAAAACCTAATGGAGGTGTGAGACGCCCAGTTGGTCTGGGGCCGGCGCCTTCAATGGATCGATTGCGTAAACCATTCAAACCGCTGACGATTAATCGACCGAAGCGACCAGGTGGCTGATGCGATGAGATCATTTGTGATGGTTCGAAGTAATGCCTGTTATGTTTGAGCGAGGCGTTGTGGGGATCGTTAGGCATTATGGTTAAGCATAACGGAATTTGGTATTTGGGTTGTATCGCTTGAGAGTATATATAGACTGTTTGTCAACTCTGGTAGAATAGAAAAAACAGCAAGAACAATTCGATAAAAACAATTCAATCACATGCGCGACCGAACTTACTTATACAAACCCCAACCGAAATCCTTCAATTAGACCACCACAAAATATCATGTTGCCCACCATCACCACCCACCTCTCCACCTCTGCCAGCCAAGCTGCTCGCAGGTACATCTCAAGCTCAACAGCCATGAAAAGCACCGTCGCTCCCAATGTCCGGAAGTCTACCAGCTTGGTTGAGAAATGGAGGAATGCCTCTCCTCAGAATCGTCGATATGTCTTGGCAGGCCTCGCAGTCGTTGCCTCTGTTGATGCTTATTTGCACTACACCTACTGGCCTTTTATTCGAACTTGGTTTGGCGGCGAGGAGATTGTTAGGAACTGAGAGGGGCCATCTGAGCCATGCATGGCTCAACTCTTTTGAGTATTACGCCGCATGAGAATCGCTGATAATAGACTTTTGCGGAAGAGAAACGTGGAGCCCTCATCTCATTTCGGTTGACCTCAATACTATATAAAATATTACAATAACAAGATAATCCCCAGGGAGTAAGAAAAGCTCTAAAACTAAATCAAGGTGCTAAAATGAACCGGTCTAAAGGCCTGCTAAGATATAATAAACTTACCTAAGTCTTTCTGTTATATAGGATCGAGGTCCTAAGTTTTCTTACCTCCTCCCTTGAGAAGCGCCTAAATCCCAGCATTCTTACTACAGAGTATTCTAGTACTCTCACCATAAGTCAGTCAAGTATTGTAACAGGGACATAGTCATGGAGTGTAGTAATATCATTTGGACTATTTTCATCTTACGAAAATCTCGCCAAGATCAAATTAGTATCAGTTAAGTTGATGAACGTCTTCACACACTTGACTAGAGATCTATACGATTCAAATATTCATACAGTCTATAATTCCTCTAATGCTTATCTATATAGTATTCCGATTAAAAAGGAATCTTGACACCAGAAGATCGGAGCTTCTGGAAGACACCCTGAGGATCGTACTTCTTGCTGGCAGCACGAAGCTTAGCAAGAGCCTCATCTCCAACAGTCGCCAGAGGATCTTGTGTGAGATGAGCATAGTTGATAAACTTCCAAGCCCACCAAGCGTCCATCTCCTTTGCCTTAGTCTCGATGTCGTCCATATAAGCCTTGAGGAGAGGGAAAGCAGCCTCCTCGCTTGCCTCACCCTTGGCAGCCCAGGTGAGGAGGAACATGATACCATCTCCGTCCTCTGTATACTTGTCTAGACCCATGACATTGCCGCCATTCTTAACACCCTTCTCGGCGATGGACTTAGTGATGGGTTGGAACATGCAGAGTGTGTTGAGCTCTGACTCGGCACTGGGCATGAGAGCTTCGAGGGCCTGGTTGAGTTCGTCGTACTTCTCAACGACATAGTTCAGGAGTTCAGCATTTGGCTTGAAGGAGCTTGTGAACCAGACATTGCGGAAGTGAGGAGGCTGGCCTGAACCGAGATCCTTGGTGACCTTACTAAGCTTTTCAGTGACAGTAGTGTCACCCTGAATATCAGGGATGGCATAGAAGCTGTCGAAAGCAGGGGGCTTGACCACACCCTTGGTGTTCTCTATAGCCGCGTTGAGAATAGTGCCACCAGCTAAGGCGGGAAGATAGGCCCAGTAAACGATGCTGCTGGAGTTTTCGTCCTTGGGCACGTTGGCGGTGAAATCAATGAGTGCATCGATGACTGCAGGGCCTGACTCAGGCTTGTAGAGAAGGTTACCGCCCCAGATGGAAGGGTTGCTGCGGTCGACAAACTCAATGGGGTACATGTCTATTCTTGTGATCAGACCCAAGTTTCCAGAGCCACCTTTCATGGCCTAATTGACGTCAATATGGCTGATTTCAATGCTGTAATATGGAGATACTCACCTGCCAGAGATCGGCATTCTCTTCAGCATTAGCATTAACGATCTCACCATTGGCGAGGACGAGCTGCCAACCCGCCACTGTATCGCAAGCCATTCCCTATACATGTGAGTTGATGTTGGGGGTACTTTCTGTGTTTCTATCACTTACATGAGACGCAGAGTAGAAGGAATTTCCTCCACCTGTTACGAAACCACCAACACCGACAGTTCCGGCACGACCACTATAGGGCGTCAGTAATAGGAGAAGACTTGGGATATATAGACATACCCAGCGACGGCAAGACCATATGGGATAAGAGTGTCGTAGACATCTTGCCAATGACCACCAGGTCCCACACTCACGACGTTCTTTTCTTCGTCATACGATGTCCCATTCATGAAACCTGCAGCTCTTAGCATGAATCGTCATGAAATAACAAGGTTCGTCGCTTATAACTTACCGAAGTCGATTGTAATACCCTCCTCAACAGAGTTGGATAATTTAAAGTTGCCATGGCCGCCACCGCGAATACCGAACTTGCATTGGTTCTTGGTGATGACCTTCATGACCTTTGAGACATCATCGGGCTATGGACCATGTCAGAACTCAAGGTTGACGCATCAAATCGGATTACGTACCGTCTTGGGCAATACCATGCAGTCAGGATGTAAGGCAGCACTGACCGACCAGTAGGAGTCGATTCGTTCATTGTAAAGTGACTGGTTCTTTGTGACGACAAGATCGGAGAGACCAGCCTCCTTCAGCAGAGCAGTGCACTTTGATGCGACGTTAGCCATTATGCAGGTAATAGAAGAGATAAGAACAGTTTCTCAGTGTGGCGGGATAAGAGAACGAGATGCAGGTTAAATGTGTATCAGGAATTGTCGATCGACGAGGGGTTGACTCGAGACATGACTTACACACTGCTGAGGGCTAGAAGGAAGCATTGTGGTGCCATAGGCGGCACCAGTAGCCAACACACCAAGCTTCATGGTTGTAACTGTAACGTATATCTCAAAAGAATGGCAAGACGAGAAAGGATACCCTCGATGATAGAACAAAGATGATATGCTCTATCAAAACAAGAAGAAAGGCAACGATCTACAGTTCACGGACGAGGAAGATCGTCTTGTTATTAAACGAACTACTCGCCCCTCAGCTGAACTAGTTGATCTCCTATCTTCGGTAATAGGAGACGGGGCGATGCTCGGGCGAGAGAGGGGGCCGGAGAGTAGGCATTATTCCTAATGCTGTCTTGTAATGTTCGTTGTGGTTTAGTGGCAGCTTGGGAGCGTAAGGGTAGCAGAGTCAGCACAGCTATTGCCGGGATGGGTTCCACCGATATGCCAGGAGATACCGTAGATGAGCACGTCAACCCGGAGACAGGGTCAGAATAAGGAAGCACATACTGCGTATTGTTACTACGTAGCACTGGAGGTCTGTGAGGCTTTAAGATTGAGCTGCAGCTTGTCACAGTTGCACTCCGATACACGTGGAATATCCTTGACAATGAGGACCATTGTCTTGGATGATACCTTGTCAATTTTCTGCATTGCATCAGAGCTCTTGAACATCAATATCTAAGTCTTGGAAGCCTCGCCTACCTCGGTCCAAATCCGACCTCTGATGCGGTTGGCTGTAAACCCCCGTCTTTTCGACGAGACTAGTATGGGGACCCTTGTTTGAACGGGGATATGATTGAGGAGATCCACGGCTCATGAGTCCTCCTATTTCCCCACAGTAATCGGTGCAGGGATTGGAATTGGTGAAGAAGCAGGGTTCAAACAGGGTTGTCTATTCTTAACCTTATTCGCGAGTACCGTTGCATAAGGATTTCGGTCAAGGAATAGGTTCTCACCTCGAACCATTATTGCAACCTCTATAACCATTCGAGGTTTTTTCTTTCTCTATAGTTTATGCGCTACAGTTTATTCTCCATTCAGGTGTGATCCGCGCAACCGAAGAACCCCATTTTACGGTAGTCGGCCAGCCCACTTAGTGTTTGTTCACCTGTCTCTATCAGATACTGATCGTCATGAAAAACTCCACGTGTATTTGGTGACTTTCCGTATTATGTCCGCATATGACAGGTCCCAGGGGCACTTTAATTCCGCAGGTCTGTTCACAATGACGGAAGATGTCTCATTGGCTCTGTTGGAGATAGACGAGGCTGCCATGTGAGATTGCTGCGAACTGAATCAAAGATCGGTGAGAAGGATTGGTTATGATGCAAAGTGTAACGAGCTACATTCCTGTAACAGTTCTTTGTCCCTTGCAGATACCAGGCCCTGGTATTGACGGGCAGGGTCATCCTTGGTTCTGCTGTTAATGCTGAGTTCCCGTGCATCTAGACCTGATCCTCAGGATCCTTCAAATCGGCCATTTACAGAGAAACATACGATTCAATCTCGCTCAGAGTATATACAGCTATATGATATAAGAATGGCAGTTTAATAGATAACAATCTTCACCGTTGACTACTCGGTCTTGTCAAACTTTTCAACTTCCAGACTCGCGATGGTTGATCATGAATTATCCTTGTCTTCTAGTGCCTGCATGACTAGCCATGCATGAGATGATCCGATCTGATCACAATCAAAAGGATCACGACAAAAGACACCTTGATGCCCATCTCCATCAACAGGGTACCAAAACACCTCTGCAACAATCCGAAGCATCGCCACAGCGAACCCTCAAACGCATAAACGACATTGCCGTCTTAACAAAACACTACTATAAACACATTCCAATTCCGTACTGAAGATCCGGCCCAGGAGTTACATTGACTCTACCCGACCTCTTGGCGAAATGCAAAGGTCCTACAGCCGGCCCTCTTTACCACTTCAGGGCCTGTCTAACAAATGGCCCTGGGGTATCGCGATGATATCGAGCACACTGACCGTCAGGAAATCATACCACCTGCGCTTGTCGGTCGGATCGGCATGCCCTATACCGCGTCTGGGTTGCGGTGCCTGGCACACGGATCTCTTGGCTTCAGGCGAGTTCTTCGGTACCTCTCGTCTTCTAGGCTAAAACACCCGGCTACGGTCACAGCGAGTGAAGTGATTGGTTCTATTAAGTTCTTTCTGTGAATATTCAACTGAATATTCTCTGCTGTATGACCTGCATGTCCCCTGTAATAAATCGTCAAAGCAGCATCGTTTAGCAGAACCTCTTGAGCCTATCACGTATACCTCTGAGACTCTACTGAGGAAGCGAGAACCGCAGTGATATATAGTTACCCCTGCCGTCAGAAGTTGTAGCATCCTTTGAGGGGAAACGAGTGACAGCTGCGCGTTGATCCTTAAGTGGCACATCAGCTAGTCTCCATCTCTTGCTTCAGATCGTTCCGAGTTCCGTCAGCCATCCTTTTTCTACCCGAGACCTTCCCCAGACTGAGCCTTCAGTTCTTCCAACAAACCTCCATGTCAAAATGCCTCTGATAGATGGAGTAATGGTGCTTCTGCCACCGCCTGAGGGCTATGTGGTCAACTTCGACAACCCACAGAGACAGGGAGTGACAGAAGCATACTTTGTGGCGGGGTTCGGAATGGCTGTGAGCTTTCTATTCTTCTGCCAGAGGATGTATGTCAAGCTATTTCTTGCAGGTGGCTTGCAGTTTGACGATGGTAAGTTTTGACATGCCGTTTTCTATCTGTTTGTTGTTTTGTTTGTTCGACCCTGCAAGCTCAATCGTGGCGGATCTGCATGGAGATGACAGATCGAAGTTATGAATTGTGCTAACATTGGATAGTTTTACTCATATTTTCATATGTAAGTATATTCGCAGCCACGAGCCATTATGTCTCATTGGAAACGATGGCTTCATCCGTTCCGCGAACAGGCGTCTATATCGACAAAAGCTGACTGAAAAATTAGATATTGGCCTTAGTCACCATCAGTCTTTGCCTTCACATGTTTGCTTCTGGCGCTGGAGGAGTACATGCCTGGGAAGCCTCCATTGAGACCTTCAACATTTACCTAATGGTAAGTCTCTCACAGTCACACAGCAGTTGTCACAAGATATTAACAACAGTAGGATGTCTATCTCGCTGCATTCATCTATGTCCTCTGTGGTTCCCTAGCCAAACTCGCTCTCCTCATGTTCTACTTCCGACTCTCTCCTCAACGATGGTTTAAGATCTCAGTTTGGTCAACCGCTGTGTTCATCAGCGGATATACCATTGGAATATTCTTCGCTGTGATGTTTGCCTGCCATCCTATTGCTATGAACTGGGATGTTACAATCACAGAAGGCAAATGTATCAACAGACCTGGGCTGTATATCGCGACCGCGATAACCAACATCATCAGCGATGTTATCCTATTCATACTACCATTGCCAATGGTTTTACAACTCCAGATGCCCTCCAAGCAGAAGATTGGTTTGATGGGCATCTTCACTATTGGATCTTTGACGGTCGTCACATCGATCGTAAGGGTGTCTCTCTTACCAGGAATGCTTAAATCAATGGACTTAACTTGGGTTATCGCTTTTCCTTCGATTTGGATGTATGGATCTCTTCTCTCTGATAGCCTAGCAGAGCGTTATAACTAACATGCCTCCAGTATCGTCGAAGCGAACCTGATCATTACCTGTGCGACGATGCCGACGCTCCGCAAGTTCTTCAAACATGTTGCTCCCAAACTCATCGGCGAGTCACGATATGGCAGCAAAACAGGGAAATCGTCAAAATATGGCAAGCCAGATACAGGATCCAAGCCGCCGAGTCGACCATTTGCCCCCTCTTCCCAGGGACGCCGTGACCGAACACAATATTCACAATTCGATGGTGATGAGAACCCTATGCCCGATAACTTTGCTCTTGGCCCCATCAATGGACGCGTGGGACACAATACCAGCGTTGGTCAGAGCGAAGAGGTAACGGGCTGGATCGATAGTGATTCTGAGAAGGGGATCGTTGGGGGAACGATCAAGCCAGCCATTGTGCAGACGAAGACGGTGACGGTGGAGTATGAACGATCACTATGATATCGATAATGGGAAAGGCGTGGGAGTTGATAAGGTCTCGGGGGTTGCATTAACAATAATCGTATGGAAAGGAACTTTCGTTTTAGATACCACTTTAGTAATGATTTGTTTTGTCTCAAGACTCTGCCCGGCTGAATTCCACCAGACGATAATATTGAAGATCACTAAACACATGGAAACCGTTGTACGTCAATTGCGTCTGCCAAGTTGGGTTGATAAGATAACGTACAATTAGTTCCCGTTGGTGGTATGACTATCCGTGACTTAGTTTCTACTAAAGTTAACTTGGGTACAGTATTGTATGCCACTACAGAGTACTAAGATGTCAACTGCCGCACATTGACAACAGCTAGTGAAAGCTCTCACATGTAGTCTTGAAGGATGATGTTCTAAACAGAACTTCAACAACACAGACTCAGCCATCACCTCTCCTTTCGCCATGACTTCGAACTGAGTTGACAACCTTTTCTGCGGAACATGTGCTCCGTAGAAGCTCAAGATCAGCGCCTTTCTTTCAACCTGACTCAATTTTAAGCCAACGATAAAGAGTCTGAAGATCTAACAGCTTGGCTGAGTTGATTCAGTGTCTCTCTAGAACGATTGCCACCACCATTCAACCAGAGATTGCAGCTCCGAGTCGCGTCACTGCAACCTCAAAATTGAGCCCCAAAGAAAGCGGCAGATTGATCTTCACCCCTGACCAAATCAAGCCTGGTAACCCAGTACAAAATCACCTTCCGCTTTAGAAGACGCCGTCTCTTGGGGATCAGCATCCGTGCGGTTCGGTCCTAGTCAGAAGAAAATCCTCGCACAGAAAAAGTCATCACCGTTTTCTGCCCTGCCTTTTTCCTCTCAAGAACCCATGTCCCACTGAATTTTCAGTGAGTGCTTTTTCGGAAGAGAGGGGAGGCAATTTGGTTACGTACAATTCAAAGCCAGGTACAGGGGAAGATCTCAATGTTACTCTGCGGAACGCGTAGATCTTGGCGAAGGATTGTGACCCCTGCTACGGTGACTCCCGAATGGCTCCGCCGGATATAGGCTCAATGAAGAAAGATAGAAGTATAGGTAATGCTGATTTTTATAGCAGTTTGTAAATAACATCAAGAATTGACATTTCTGCCCTTCTAGTCATTGTACTATCAGGGGTGAGAGGAAGTATAGACCAGCTTTGCACGAGTCGATTATAGTAAATCCTAAACTTGGTTGATTTTTCTTTTTTGTAACTTGCTTGTAACTTGCTTTAGACTATGAAGCATGTGCTATGTTCCTCCTACCAATACATCGCCACTATTACAACTTTGCAGACAGAGCCCATCTCTCCTTGATAAGATCAGCAGCCTTCTCACCAATTCCATAAGCAGGCATCTGCGTATGACCATTGTTCACCGTAGGCATTATCGAACAATCTGCGACTCTCAACCCCTTAACACCATAGACCTGTAGCTTCTCATCCACCACAGCCATAGGGTTATCCTTCTTGCCAGCGGCACACGATCCACTGGCATGGTAACAAGTCGTAGCGTTATCCTTGACGTATTCCTTCCAGTCCTCGCGCGTCTTGTACTTGTGGTGCACA